AAGATAAAGATAAAGTTTATACAGTTTCATATAATGAATGGAAAACCAATAAGATAAGAAAACATTTAGGAGATTATGGTAAAAGTTCTGAATTCTTCAAATCTAGTATGTACGAGAGAGTAAAAGAAATTAGAAATAATTATTTTCATGAATGAAAGATTCACTACCATAATGAAATAAAAAATAAAAAATAAACTTTAAAAATTCATGTCTTACATTTTTGAATAATTTATTTTTTTTTTATTTTGTATGAAATGAGCGTCAAAACTAACGACGTTAAAAAATTGGGATTCACAAACGAGGAAATAAAGGATATATTAGATGAGATGTGTTATGAAGTTAGTAAATATTATTTAAGAAATTGTCAAAAATTTGCCGAGTTATTAAATGATTTAGATTATGATGGAAAAATGAATAAAGATGATGTTATAAATTTCTTATATCCCACATCTGAAGAAGAAAAACCTAAAGAACCTGATGTTTTCCCTGAATATTATGAAGAACGGATTAAAGATGATGATGAATACAATGAAATTGAAAGACTGGAAAAAATAAGAGATGAAATAGATGAAAAAATTAAGGAATTAAGAGAAGTTGAAAAATATAATGAAAATGAAGTAGAGGGTTTAATGAATATCCCAGCTTCAGAATCAGCAGTTCAAAAATCTCATGAAGAAAGATATAAAAATTATGTCTCAGAATCAACACAAAATTTATTAGATGGCGAAATAGATGAAACACTTTCAGAAGAAGGTACTAAATTTATTCGTAAACATAAGTTACAATTTATTGATAATGAAAAATACCCTTGTATCTTACTTTCACCCCCTCTCGATTCCGAGAAATTCAAAAAAGCTCTTAAAAATGTGACATATGCAACTAATACGATTAAGAAAGAAGATCATGATATTTACACAAATTATTATTTAAATAAATGCACGGGTGTTGATAAAGTTTTTGATTTATTAGATAAAATATCAAAAGAAACCATTGGAACCTATAAAATTTTGTGTGATTGTGGTTTCATTATTGAAGATACTAATAATGTTTCATATGAAAGAACAGCACCGAAGGAAGACGAAGTTGAAAGGTCTATACCATTCGTTATTAAGAATATAAAAGATATGAAAACTTATAAACATTATATTTATTCATTTATTTCAGAAAAAATGGAAGCAACCCATAAAACATCTTCTCATCATTTTATAGCTATTCATACATTCCTTTTCAAAGTTGTGAAATTAAATAAGACAGGAATTAGATTTAATGTATCAGGGTACGCATTCTTGAGTAAATTAAAATGTATTCGTCACGTCGCAGATGATAAAAATTTATGTGTTCTTAATTCATTTTATGGGCTTTAAAAAATAAACTTTATTTTTATTTATTTTTTAATTTTTTATTCTTACATAAATGAACAAAAACGGAACCGCTAAAATGAATGATAATCAAATTAGAGCAGAAGGTAGAAGGTTATTTAAACGCTTCTATAACATTCCTGATGGTGTTAATCCTAAAACTCGTAGAAGTTATTTAAATGAAGCAATAGATTCATATGAAGGGTTTGACATTTCATCAGAAAGTGAGAGATTAGCGAGAATGTTAAATGTTAATATTGATTTCTATTATTGTGATCCTCAACCAGAAGACGTGGACATAAATAAGGTAGACTTTCCATTAGTGGATTCAATAATGATAGATCCAGAATTTGAAACAGTAAATATTTTATTAACACAGAGTCCATGTGGAAAACTTCACGCTGACAGAATAACAGACGTTGAAGCACTCACTGGCTATAAGTTTGTCCATTTTGTAAAGAAGAAGTTTATTCTATCCGTGATGATCCAGAAAGGAAAAACCAAAGAAGATTTTTAAAGCATTGTGAGAAATGTAAAGAAAATAATGGAAGATTAATTCAAGACGTTCAATTGCAAAAGACACAGCAACCATATGCACCACATATTACGAAACAGAAGATATATCAGTGGTTATTAGCTCACAATTTGCAGAAATATTATAAACCGACAAGATATTATATTACTTTTGACTTCGAAACATTAGAGACTAAAGAAGAATTACAACTTTCCGAGTGTGCAACTTTGAACGCTTACTTAAAACCATTCATGGTATCATCAACGGTTAAATTAAATGATAAAACATATACGAGGAATTTTTGCTTAACTTCGAGTGATTCTTTTATTTCTGATTGGATTGAGTTTTTATTTTCAACCTGTTCATTAGTTACTAAATCAAATATTGAACAATATGAAGAATTAATGAAGTCCCATACATTAAATGAAAAACAGAAGGAAGCATTTAAAGAACTTCTAGATGAGGAATTCAATAAAGTGAATATCATAGGTTTTAATTCGGGAAAGTTTGATTTAAATTTAATTCTTCCTGATTTAAACACTGCAAAATGGAAAATAAAATCAATGCTGGGTTCATCTTCACAATTTAAGCAAATCATTGTAAAGAAAACAAACGTTCCATATGAATTGAGATTTATTGACATCAGAAATTATATAGCGGGCGGGACATTAGACCAATTCACTCAAGATTTCGGAAACAATAAATCACGTGTTAAATCCTTTTTCCCTTATCAATTCATCACATGGGAGAATTACGAAGAAGAATTATATAAAGAGGAACCATTCACGAAAGATTCATTTTATTCAGCATTAACTCAAGAAACTATATCAGATAGTGATTATCAAATATATCTCAATGATGCTAAAAATTTTAAGAATAGATTAGAATATTTTATTCATTATTGCAATAAAGATGTTGAAATTATGATTGACCCAATCGATAAAATTATTGAAGAAACATTTGTTTATAAAATTGACATGCTTCATAATCTTTCTTTATCATCGAATGCTTCAATGATTCGTTACGCTTTAGCATATAAAGACTTTAATCCTAATGAAAAATATCCTGAGGAAGAGATAGAATCAAGTTTTGAATTAACGAAAAAGTATTGGAAATATAAAATTGAATCATATAAGAAACAAGATGAAAAAGCAGAAAGGGATACTAAAAATAATGTTTCAATGGATGATTTTCAATACTATCACGATTTAATCCTTTCATCTAAATGTAAAATGTGTGGTAAAGCGTTTACATATGCAAATAAACCAACATTGGATAGAATCGATAATGAAAAACCACATACCAAAGAAAATTGTCAGTTAATGTGTTGTTATTGCAATGTCGTAAAATCAAATAAAGATGAAGATGTTCAACGTTTAAGAATCAATTTAAGAAATTATGCATTAAAAAATAATTTACCAATGACTTTAGATTCGGTTGAAGCTTATCACATTCTCCGTAATGGAATTACTGGTGGTTTATCAAATGTTCAACATAGAGTAAATCTTAAAGGAATCACGCGCATTAATAAACTTTCATATAGTCCAGAAACTAAAACTGTATCAAATGAGGACACCACCAACATTATGACCCATTTCGTTGGAGTTGACTTTAATTCATTATATCCTTCATCATTTTCATCTAATCCTCATGATTTCATTCAATATACTGACCATAAAATGTATATGCCGGGAAGATTGAATGGTGTTATCATTTGTGATACAGCAACAAAGAAAGCAAAAGCACTGGGAATAATTAAGAAGAAAAATACTTTATTCGTTGCTGAAGTAAAGGGTCACATTGATGAAAAATACATTAATGATTACATAAACTTTTTACCGATAATAAGAAACTTAGATATTATCACAGATGAAAAAACAATTGGTAGTTTTATGTATAATTACATGAAATCAAACAATCTACCAGTTGACCAGAAACAGAGGAAATTAACTCAGTTAGCATCAACACACAACCAATATCAACCATTTTCTTCTTATTATCTTTGGTATCTAATAGGCAAATTTCATTTTATCATTGATGATATTCAATCAATTTTAACATTTACGAAAAACACTTGTTTTAATGAATTTGCGAACAAATTTATGAACGAAAGACAAAAGGCTGAATTAGAAGGAAATAAAGGGAAAAGTTTATTTTGCAAGATTTCGCTTAATGGATCATATGGTTACGATGCAATGAATACACAAAATTACGCAAAGACTAAAATAATGAATGCACAGAAGGCACGCGTTGCATGTATGTCAAATAAGTTTAAAAACATAAGAGAAATAGGTGAGGATACATATCAAGTGATGCTCAAAGATAGATTTTATAGATGTGATACATGTTTACAAGAGGCATTTTTTACTTTAGATAATGCTAAATACTGGTATTTAGTTTTCATTTATGATTTTATGTATAAATGCATGAATCTTAATCGTTTTCATTTCATTGAAGGTGATACTGATTCATCTTATTGGGCTATTGCTGGCGATCCAAGTCTTCCTAACACTCAAGCATTTCAGGCGATTGTAACCGATAAAAAATTTTATGATAAAAACATTTTCAAATTCGCACCATTTGATTTCTTCTGTTTTGATGAGAAATTTAAACCTAAATTAAAGAATAAAGCTGAAGAAAAAGCACATGAGAAGAAGTTATTGGGTTTAGCAATTGAGAAACAAGGTGATAACATGGTTGCTTTATGTCCTAAGTGTTATACATCATTCAACGGTTCAATTGATGGAAGTGATTTTAAAAAGATTGCACAAAAAATGAAGGGTGTTAGTTTAAGACAAAATAAGCAATTAACACCTAAAAAATATTTGGATATAATAAATGATAAAGTGATATTTGATGGTCAAAATATTAATTTACAACTTAAAAACGGGTCAATGACTCGCTTAACAATCGGTAAGACTGCATTAACAGGAGCACACACTAAGGCTGTATGTTGTGAAAATGGATGTTGTATGCCATTTATTTAATACAATTTAAAATTTTAATGAAATGCCACAGAAGAGACAAAAGGAACCGTTAATGATGCGATTCAATATGTAAATAATGGTTTTGATACTATGATTCAAAGAGGTGGGCACCCTTAAAACACTTATTTTATTTTTATATAAATGGATAACACAGATTTAAAAATTTTAATTGATGATTTAGTATTTAATCAAAATTTTCTTGATTATTACGATTTAAAATCATATCTCCAAAAACATAATAACAATATAACGGGTGATGATATGGAATATTATTATCCATATTATAAAAATGAAATTTTGAAATATCATAATAAAATAATTTCTGAAATTAAAGACAAAATTAAAAATAATGAATATACAAAGGGAAAAACTAAATCACAACTTAAACAGTTGAAAGATTTCAAAAATAAAGTATTAACAGAAGAAGATATTGATGAATTATATAATTTATATAATCCTGAGCCACAAAAACCAAAGCCGAGGTCTAAAGTAGCAAATGTTCAACAGCCAAATGTTCAACAGCTAAAGGTGCAAAACGCCCTAACCCTTCAGACCATAAATGAAGCACAAGCTTTAATTTATGATTCATTAGTTAAACCATATTCAACCGACTTTTAAATGAAGATCAACTTTTGGAATTCATCCTTCAACATAAACTCGAAGCGGGAAAGTATATCAAACCTTTATATACAGCATATTTAAAACAAATGAATAGAATACATCCAGAATTAATGAAGGGGGGAATGAATTCCAAAATCAAAGCAGATAAAATTAAACCACTTGCAACACCAAAACCTCCAACGACAGTACCGCCTCCTCCTTCAGTTAATCCTTCATCATTCACTTTATTATATCCATTTCAAACATTAAAGAAGCAAAAAGATTTTAAAAAGGATTTCAAGATATTAAATAAACCAATTGACCCGAAAATTCAACCGTTAAAGGAAAAATTTAGTCGCCCTTCATTTGCTCCATATCCATATTCATACGAAATCGATCATCTGGAATATTCAAAAGGAAACGTTACTTATTTATTTGCCATTAACATTAACACTAGATATTTATATTGCATTCCAGTGAAAGGGAAAACAAAACAGGAAACAAGAAGAGCTATACAATACTTACTAGATCATGAAAGAGTAGATAATATCAGGGGTGATGGTGATAAAGGATTTCAGGCAGCTATGGCTCATTATTTCCCACAAATTAATTTTTTCTTTTCATCCTCTCCATATACGTTTCATAATAAAATAGTTGATGCGGTAATGAGAACTCTTAGAGATGCGTTAGGGGTTAACGGTCAGATATACTGGGATGGAAATCATGACTCCATCATACAACAGTTAGTATATTATTACAATAATACATGGCATAGAACTATAAACATGAAACCGGTGGAAATGAAAAATGATATTTCAAAAGAATGGGAATATATTAGAAAGCAAATGGAAAGGTTAAATGATGTTAAACGTGAACAAATTAATTCGGGGCTCATGAATTTTAAACAAGGGGATAAAGTTTTGATTCATCTCGATTATGGAAAAACTGATAAATCAATGACAAAAAGAAGACGAAGATTTGACACAATAGCTGAATTTGTTAGATATATTAACGGCAATGCATTAGTTGAAGTTGACAATAAATTAATAGAAATTCCGATTTATTTTATTACTCCATTATATTTAAATAATATTTAATTTTTTTATTTCGTAAGAAATGAGTGACAACAAAGCAGTCAAGAGTCCTGATTTAATTAAGATTCAGAGTCCAGACGATGAATATAAAAAGAAACTAAACAGAATTAAATCAAAAATATGCTATTACAAAAAGAAGCCGCAATGCGGTGGGGTTGATGCCCATAAAACTAATGGAACTGAAAACGATGAAGAGAAGAAGGAAATAATCGAAAAGTTAGAAACTTACCGTTCAATCCTTAAACTGAGTGAAGCAAAATAAAAGAATTTAATAGAATAAATAAATTGATTGGAAGAGATGAATTTAATAAAGATGAATTTTTAAACTCTATCCAAATTTAATTTTTATTTCTCTTTGACAACATCTCTCTTTCCATCATTACTGCATAACCGCATTTTCTCAGTTTTAGTGGTTTGTTATTTTTAGCAAGTTCTCGCATCATTTTTATCGTTTCCTCCCTTGTTATGATTCGTGGTAAATTTTGAGCTTGTGGGGTATCCATTTATATAAAAATAAAAATTTGTTATCAGTTATTTTATCGTTAATGGTTTTCAGGTTATTCAATAATTAATTATTTTTGAAGAACTGAAGGTGCTACCATGTTACCATGTGCTACCAGGTTAATTAACTTCTCTGAAAAAGTGTGACAACATGACATTTTGACAACACAGCAGGAGGAAGGCAGTTATGAATTATTTTTGAAGAACTGAAGGTGCTACCATGTTACCATGTGCTACCAGGTTAATTAACTTCTCTGAAAAAGTGTGACAACATGACATTTTGACAACACAGCAGGAGGAAGGCAGTTATGAATTATTTTTGAAGAACTGAAGGTGCTACCATGTTACCATGTGCTACCAGGTTAATTAACTTCTCTGAAAAAGTGTGACAACATGACATTTTGACAACAGTCGGGGAAATAAATGTTTACGTTAATGTTTTGTCATGATTTCATCGTATATGCTTTGTCATGATTTCATCGTTAATGTTTTGTGAAGAATATAGCAACCGCCGGAATTCAGACGGTTGTTTTTTTATACAAAATTCACGCAGGATTAATGCAAAAATAAATTCAAATCATACTTTATAAAGCATCATTTACAGGTATTTCATCGTCAGTAAATGAATCCTCATTATCATTTGGTTCAACCTGTTTATGTTAGCATGTTAGATCTAACACGTTTTCTAACCACTTTTCTAACATGGTCTAAAACTCTCGAAAATCATGAATTTTTGACATTTCCTTATGAAAGAAAAATAACGCTAATTTTTTTCTAAGAAAAATTTTTATTTTGTATGTAAAGATATGATTTCAACAATAGGTTCTACAACACTTCAAACAACAACTTCACCAAACTCTTTAGTTATGAATCCAACATCTATGTTAGTAGAGATGAAAAGCTTCATTCCTTCTTCATATACTTTTGAGACAGAAATACAAAGAATTAAGCAAGAACTTTTAACAAGTAATTTAGACTGTAGTGCGAAAGATGAAACAAATGAACAGTATCTTTATGACATGCAGGACATTATTGACCATTTACCCAAATTGCCTGAAATCCAACAACAAAAGCTCACTATTCATGAATTCGATGAAATAGAAGTGAAACCAACTGACTCAGTAGAAATAAAGAAGTTCATACGTAAAGTAAACTATGAGTTTCTAGGATATCATTGCAACCATAAAGTTATGGACAAAGATCGCGACATGGTATATAAGAACATCTCTGACATATATTAATCTGGGGAGTTTAAGACATACGACAACTTTGTTTCATTAGTTGCTGAATGTGTATGGCAGATAAGAGATAAAGATAAAAGATGTAAAATATGGAATGGACAAATAAAACCAACAACTTTTGAGTTAAAGAAAACCATTGACGCCTTAGTTGTTCTAGCAGGTCAAATTTCAATGTATAACGCAAAAATGAATCCGCAATGTTCAAAATGTAAAGCAGCAATGAGGAAATATAACTACTCCGTCAAAGAGATAGAACGTATGAGAAACGACTATGCTGACTTAAAGAAAGAAGTAGAGAAACCAGCAGAAGATAAAATGGACATGTTAGCATTTCTGAACAAAAACTATCCAACAGCTGACGATTTCCTTCTATCTGATGTCAAGAAGAAGTATAAAGAAACCTTCGGCATAGTTAAAATTTTTGATATTCTTCGTGAAGAAATAGAAGCTACAAAACTGTTTAAAGTCATGAACCATCGCAACATATACCATGTAAAACGTTTGTAAATAGTTATGTTAGAAAAGTGGTTAGAAAACGTGTTAGATCTAACATGCTAACATAAACATTATTTTTTGGTGTAAATAAATGGTACCTTTAATGATATCATGACTGTTCTCGTTCATGTCTGATTTACATCTAATGAAAAAGTTTAGAAGAATTTTCTTATTCTTTCTGGTATATTTTTTGTCTTTCCAGTACTCCCGCTCTAATGGTCCCAGATGAGTTGGTTTAGATTCTCTCAAGTTCTTAGATGGTATAACATCTTCAACGCCTCCTTCATAAGTCATGACAAATCATTTCCCCGACTGTTGTCAAAATGTCATGTTGTCATCATTTTTCAGAGAAGTTAATTAACCTGGTGACACATGGTGACGTGGTGACACCTTCAGTTCTTCAAAAATAATTAATTATTGAATAACCTGAAACATGAGACTTTGTCTCCGGACTCTTTGAGTCACTTAACGATAAAATATATTTTTGGTCATGGGCTATGCCCCGCCACTTCATGTCTTTATGACAAAAATAATGAGTTCATTTACTCACAATATTTTTTTACAAAACGACCCCAAGCTTTTAACTTCTTTTCTGCAGCTTCTAATGCTATCTTAGCGAGTTCATATTCTCTAAATTCTCTCTTTAAATTTTCTTGTTCCCATTGGTCTAGTTCGAATGGAGAATCTCTATAACCATAACATATCTCACGTTCATGTTCTAATTGTTTTTCGCGCATTTTTCTAACTTCTTGTTCGAACAAAGGTTTAGCATTCTCTACTGTATCTTCAAGTTCTTCTTCATCTAATTTCTCATGAACTTTCTTGTCTATGGAGTCCATAATATCTTTGACATAAAATGCATACTTTACAGAGCACCATTCAGCAACAAAATGAACGAGGTTAGGATGTATGTAAATACCTTTGAATTCATTTATAACACCCTTTGTAAGCTCATAAAATGCTTGTTTTGAGGTCGAGCCACTTTTGGCTCCACCGTATTCGTTCATCCAAAACTCAAGAATTTCCTGCATTTTAGCACTATTGAGAAATCTGTTTAAATGGTTTAACTTTCCTGCTTCTCTTGCCATCTTTGTTGCATTTATATAACCATCCTTGTCTCTACGTAAGACTTCAATACTGTTATAAGTGCCTTTTGTGAATGTTCACCATTAGATTTGTTCGTGAATGTTTTTTGCTTCGACCGACATTACTGTTCTTACATACAAAAAAAAATAAATAAAAATAATTTTAAAACTAACTTTATTTTTGTACTGCATCAAATTTTCATTAATGTTGTCAAAATGTCATGTTGTCACACTTTTTCAGAGAAGTTAATTAACCTGGTAGCACATGGTAACATGGTAGCACCTTCAGTTCTTCAAAAATAATTCATAACTGCCTTCCTCCTGCTGTGTTGTCAAAATGTCATGTTGTCACACTTTTTCAGAGAAGTTAATTAACCTGGTAGCACATGGTAACATGGTAGCACCTTCAGTTCTTCAAAAATAATTCATAACTGCCTTCCTCCTGCTGTGTTGTCAAAATGTCATGTTGTCACACTTTTCAGAGAAGTTAATTAACCTGGTAGCACATGGTAACATGGTAGCACCTTCAGTTCTTCAAAAATAATTCATAACTGCCTTCCTCCTGCTGTGTTGTCAAAATGTCATGTTGTCACACTTTTTCAGAGAAGTTAATTAACCTGGTAGCACATGGTAACATGGTAGCACCTTCAGTTCTTCAAAAATAATTCATAACTGCCTTCCTCCTGCTGTGTTGTCAAAATGTCATGTTGTCACACTTTTTCAGAGAAGTTAATTAACCTGGTAGCACATGGTAACATGGTAGCACCTTCAGTTCTTCAAAAATAATTCATAACTGCCTTCCTCCTGCTGTGTTGTCAAAATCATGTTGTCACACTTTTTCAGAGAAGTTAATTAACCTGGTAGCACATGGTAACATGGTAGCACCTTCAGTTCTTCAAAAATAATTCATAACTGCCTTCCTCCTGCTGTGTTGTCAAAATGTCATGTTGTCACACTTTTTTCAGAGAAGTTAATTAACCTGGTAGCACATGGTAACATGGTAGCACCTTCAGTTCTTCAAAAATAATTCATAACTGCCTTCCTCCTGCTGTGTTGTCAAAATGTCATGTTGTCACACTTTTTCAGAGAAGTTAATTAACCTGGTAGCACATGGTAACATGGTAGCACCTTCAGTTCTTCAAAATAATTCATAACTGCCTTCCTCCTGCTGTGTTGTCAAAATGTCATGTTGTCACACTTTTTCAGAGAAGTTAATTAACCTGGTAGCACATGGTAACATGGTAGCACCTTCAGTTCTTCAAAAATAATTCATAACTGCCTTCCTCTCTGCTGTGTTGTCAAAATGTCATGTTGTCACACTTTTTCAGAGAAGTTAATTAACCTGGTAGCACATGGTAACATGGTAGCACCTTCAGTTCTTCAAAAATAATTCATAACTGCCTTCCTCCTGCTGTGTTGTCAAAATGTCATGTTGTCACACTTTTTCAGAGAAGTTAATTAACCTGGTAGCACATGGTAACATGGTAGCACCTTCAGTTCTTCAAAAATAATTCATAACTGCCTTCCTCCTGCTGTGTTGTCAAAATGTCATGTTGTCACACTTTTTTCAGAGAAGTTAATTAACCTGGTAGCACATGGTAACATGGTAGCACCTTCAGTTCTTCAAAAATAATTCATAACTGCCTTCCTCCTGCTGTGTTGTCAAAATGTCATGTTGTCACACTTTTTCAGAGAAGTTAATTAACCTGGTAGCACATGGTAACATGGTAGCACCTTCAGTTCTTCAAAAATAATTCATAACTGCCTTCCTCCTGCTGTGTTGTCAAAATGTCATGTTGTCACACTTTTTCAGAGAAGTTAATTAACCTGGTAGCACATGGTAACATGGTAGCACCTTCAGTTCTTCAAAAATAATTCATAACTGCCTTCCTCCTGCTGTGTTGTCAAAATGTCATGTTGTCACACTTTTTCAGAGAAGTTAATTAACCTGGTAGCACATGGTAACATGGTAGCACCTTCAGTTCTTCAAAAATAATTCATAACTGCCTTCCTCCTGCTGTGTTGTCAAAATGTCATGTTGTCACACTTTTTCAGAGAAGTTAATTAACCTGGTAGCACATGGTAACATGGTAGCACCTTCAGTTCTTCAAAAATAATTCATAACTGCCTTCCTCCTGCTGTGTTGTCAAAATGTCATGTTGTCACACTTTTTCAGAGAAGTTAATTAACCTGGTAGCACATGGTAACATGGTAGCACCTTCAGTTCTTCAAAAATAATTCATAACTGCCTTCCTCCTGCTGTGTTGTCAAAATGTCATGTTGTCACACTTTTTCAGAGAAGTTAATTAACCTGGTAGCACATGGTAACATGGTAGCACCTTCAGTTCTTCAAAAATAATTCATAACTGCCTTCCTCCTGCTGTGTTGTCAAAATGTCATGTTGTCACACTTTTTCAGAGAAGTTAATTAACCTGGTAGCACATGGTAACATGGTAGCACCTTCAGTTCTTCAAAAATAATTCATAACTGCCTTCCTCCTGCTGTGTTGTCAAAATGTCATGTTGTCACACTTTTTCAGAGAAGTTAATTAACCTGGTAGCACATGGTAACATGGTAGCACCTTCAGTTCTTCAAAAATAATTAATTATTGAATAACCTGAAACCATGAGACTTTGTCTCCGACTCTTTGAGTCACTTAACGTAAACATTTATTTCTGCAGTTCATCCATTACTTCATTACCTAATTAATTACAGACATAAAATATATTTAGTTCATTCGGTAAGCCTTGACCCAAAGTCTGGGCTCAAGCGCGTTCAATGAACGCGGTACCATGCGAATACAGTCACAAATGGTGGTATGTAATCTTTACCCGAGCCTGTTGGATTTGTTGTGAAAGTGTGTGAATGATTACCTGCGGTTCCACAGAAAATACCTGTGCTTGAATCTACTGGGTCAGTTGTGATATCATATCTATTCATTCCCCATCTATCCGAACCCGCTGCAAGATTTGTATAACCTCTTTTTGTTATTGAATGTGAATGATTTCCTGTGTGTTTGTAGTTCCTGTATGAGTGTGCGGTGGATGGTTTGCTTCTTTAATTTTCTTCGAACCTCCTGTTTGCTTTGAATATCTAGCACAGTATAAGAATTTATCTACAATCTGCTTCCACGCACCAAAACCTAAAACTGTTGATGGATTTGTTGAGTTCATTGACGTATAAATAGAACCAACAGGATATAATGTTTGAAGTATTTCATTTTTCATGCTTGTAATCACATCATTTACTTCCGACTTCTTTGCATAATTTTCATCAACATAAGTTTTTATCTGCTTTAAGATCTAAACATCCTGAAACCCATTCTGTATCAGCTTTAACTTTAAAGTCTCAAATGTCCATTCATGATACCATTCAACCTTTTCTTTAATTTCATTATCTTTTTCATCAACATAAACCAAATTTGCCTTCTTATTTAACTCACTATCCACATATTCCTTATCCACCTTCTTCATTATGTCATTTAGGAAACCTTTCTATGAATTCCTCATTTAAATTAAATCTTCCAATCTTCAAAACTTTAGGAAATGCATTTAATGCGTAATATCTCTGTTCTTCTGGTGGAATTGATGTTATATCATCCGTTATTCCTTTAATTTTTGAATTCATAAATAAAATTCTTTTATATTTGATATCACTGCACCACCTTTGCAAACGAATTCGAAATGTTCATTTTTCAATACTATCTCCAAATCTCCATATTTCAACCTTTGCGTTTGTTCTGCCGTCTTTGAATTATATGCATATATGGCGTATGTAATGGTCTGAAGGACCTGGGTGTTTTGCGCCTTAAGTTGCTGTTGTTTAATCATTTATTATGATTTAAAAATAAATATTTAATCCGTTATCTCATCGGCTATTTTCTCTATTTGAAATTGCCATAATATTTCATTCATAAATTCTAAATCACAATCAAATAGGTCAGTTATTCTAAATTTAATATTTGATAAATCTTTGAATGAAGAATAAATGAATTCCCGGATAATTGAAATGGATATGATAAAGAAAATGTGTTTAAGTTGATGGATAAATGTTTTGTATTGATGGGTAAGAGTTAGGGTCTAATGTTTGATGTGAAAATCTCATTGGGGTATTAACTTTATCACATTTGATTAAAATGAAATTGGAACCAGTGTCAGAATACAAAACATCCCCAACATCTTTTTCAAAATTTAATATTCCAACAATGAACGAAGATGAGGAGTACAAAATTTAATTTTCAGCGGGAATTTAATAAGGTTATTTATTTCATCAAGTTCAAAAAGTTTATCGGGTTTTGATTTAAAATTTTCTTCATACCATACGATAAATGATTCATTTAAATAACTTAAAATCATGTTAATATCCCATTTCGCTATCACATTTATTTATATACATATCATACGTTTTTTCATGGTCATCTTTAATAAATGATATATAATCTGAAGGGTCTAAAAGAATGGGAATTAAATTTACCACTCACAGAAACGAGAGTAACATTATAAATTCCGCTAACTGTTAAATTTAATTCACAACTATTATTCGAAATAATATTGATAATTGACATTTTTATTACGAATAAAAATATGGTAAAGCGTTATTTTCCAGTGATAAATAAAACTAGAATAAGATTACCTCAAGAATTCATAAATTCAACGAATAAGAAATTCATTCATGTTATAAATTTTTAGTGTTTTCAGAAATATGAGTCAGTGTCATATTCATCAACAGGTTATATTTCACTTCATTCAAATTTAGTTCAATCAAAACCCATATAATGACCATTTCATAAGATTTTCAGATGGTATTAAAAATGTAATTGATAGATTAAAAATATGAACAGATTGAAATATCAAATTTTTGGAATTTTGGTTTAAATATCCCGATGGAAAAAAGATTGAAGTTAAAGATAAAGGATACTATAACAAAAACAATTACAATGACCGATCCAGATAGTGGGGAACAAAAAGAAATAAAACAAACGATAGAACTGGTGAAAGGTCAATTATTATTGATTATGATTCAAAGGATTATTATTCAATAATGTTAATGCTTGAATATTAAATAGCCTTAACAAGAATTTTTCAAGTGATATTTTATATTCATCAACTATTTTATTATAAATATCATTATATGTTAAATGAATTCAGTTGTTGTTCGTTCTTTGATATCTTAATTGTGCTAATATCCTTTATAGGATTTATTTTTGCAACTGTTCCGCAGCATGAAACTCATCATCTTGAAAAAATTGAATCTTAACGTCTGAATCTTGAACATCAAAAGAATGGCGATAATGTGAATTAATGATTCATAAGGTAAAATAATTAAACCGGATTGATCAATTAAATTTATTATTGAATCATAATTATTAATTATTATATCACGGTAAATTTTCATTAATTCAGAATTAATGTCTATTTTATATGGGTTCTCGATGTTTGATGAAAGAGGTGGGGGGTATGTTGGATAAGTGGAATTTCAACAGGTTCTTTACCAGGTTCAGATAAAATTGGGTCTCCATCTTCTTTATTTCTGCTCCTCCTCCCTTTTTTCGGTAAGTCACGAGTTAATAAATTTGGTTGAGTTGCTGACCTTGTTAATTCAGGGCTAACATTAACTTTAACATTTTGAATAATTCGTGATTTATCATCATTTACGTTATAACCAACCGTAATCTCTGCTTTTGCGTTAGTGTTCTTTTGACTAGTGAAACGTCTTCTCATTTATATTCGAATAAAAAAATATATTTAAACTTTTATTTTGCTGGAACTTTTGAATCTATTATTCCTGTATTTGTTCATGAGTTGATTTTTAGCTGTTTCATCGTAATTAATAGACCGAATATATTCATTAATTGCATTCTTATAATCATCTGATTTCTCAAATTTTCTTTTATCTGATTCCTTAACTAAATCATAAGTTAAACCACGTTGCTGATATAATGGTTTCTTAATTAAATCTTTGAATGCTTGAGATAAAGCACCTGATGCAATTCTTGCTACTATAATTGGTTGGAATTGCTGTTTAAGTTCATCTTTAACATTTGCGAAAACCGGATCGAATAAAGCAACTTTAAAGAATTTCTTAGCTGAAATTTCAGGTCTAATATTTGCATATTGACCATCAAACTGGTTAGAATATCGTGGTAATCCATCCGGTCCCTCTTCAACAGCATTTAATTCTTCATTGAAATAAGAATATGGATTATGACGGTATGAATTAATTGGACCATTTTCACCTTCTCCAATGCATTGTTTAACAGCTTTTCCATTTTCATCAAATTGCATAGGATAACGTTCATTATATGCTTTACGTTTAGGATAATCAGATATAGTTAATTTATAACCATTTATGACTTTAATATTACCTTGACCATCAGTAACGAAAACTTCATTTATACCATCAGGTTTTCCATTTGGACCCGTAATGTCTGCTTCGTGTGCTTCCCAATTTGGACCTTGACGTTTGGCATATGCTTGAGCTTCTGGTAATGTTAAAACGTTTCTCATTTGTTTAACATCTTTTTGAAGACCAGCAACAATATGAACTAATTCTTTCATTCCATCAGGAACTTTCATAGTTCTATTATATGCACCCTTTTGTTTGTCCCTTGTTTTAATGGAACCTGTAGAAGATTTACCATTTCTGTCATGTTTAATTATAAATAAAAAATAAAAATTAATTATAAAAAGTTAATCAAATTTAACACTTCCTTTATTTAAATCAACTATTATTTTTCCATGTTCACCTAATTGCTGATATTGTGTGTAAAGTTCATTAATGCTCATTGGTAAATTCACTTGATAAAGCATAACGTTCAACTTTGACGACTAAACCCACTGAAAATGAAAAGTGTTGATAGATTTGATTTAATGTTTGTGCTTAATGCTTTGAAATATTGAACAGCCATAAAGAATGAACACTGAATGTGTCGACATTGAGTTAATAACTGATTAAAATATGATTTCTCATTTGTTATTAGTTTTGATTTCACCGCATCATCTAGAAAAATGAGTGAATGCAAAAATTCTCTATCAAAATTTGAAATAGAAAGTGTTTCAAATAATTCATCCCGTTGTTTATCAATAATTTTATCCTCTAATCCTTGCTTCTTGATTGTATTATATAATTCTTTATACATTAAAAAGTTTTTTAAATAATCTTCTGCTTCTTCTTGTGATAAATAAATAATTGGAATTTTGATTAAATGCTTTAAAGATTCAAATGTATCATCTGAAGGTGAACCTGAACGGTTGATATAAATTAACACATGTGAATGGGGGAAGTGTTAGCAATAATGATAATTTGTTTTAATATCGTTAATGTTTTACCTTTATTCTGTTTACCAATTGCTGCAGTGATTGAATTTAAGTAACATTCAGAATATGGAATTTTCATTAATTTTTCCTTAGATAGAGCATTTCTATTATCACTCAATGCTTCATTAATCATATCATCTACGTATGTATTATATACTCCTGCTAATTCTTCATAAGGGGTGGATGAATTTAAATCCATTTAATCAAAAATAAATTTATAATTTTAAACATTTCTATTCATCAATATTTCATCATATGAACTTCTATACTGTGGTGGTGTACCTGTTGGATGATATTTCAAACCTTCATCCGGTGTCCATGTCCAATATGTAGTCCTAGTAAACCAAACCTGAGGAGGATTTGTCACCTTTGAACAGTAAGTGTCATTTACACCCTGAATGATTGGATAAGCTTTCACTTGTACTGTAACTTGTGAGTTGAAAGTTTCTAATCCATCAAAGAATATACCCGCTCCATCACGTTGAACTGGAATAGTGCATAAGAATGAAGTTTGGTCTTTCCATGTTCTAGCTAATGGCGTGCCATCATCATCATTCAGTGGTCTAGTTAATGAGTCCTCGTATTCTTCTGTGCATTCATTCACTCCATCTAAATCAGAAGCTTGAAGCATACGTGTAAAGAATATGTCACCCACTGTGGTCATCGCTTGATCGGGGAAGTTTCTGGAATCTATAGTGACCTGAAGACCTCGAAGCATTGGATTTTCTAAAACTGTTCTTTGCATTGCATTCTTCGGAAATGTTAACACAACATCTGTAACATTATGAAGAGCGTATGAGAAATCTGAGCTAATACCTTCAGGAGTGATGCAACCTCCATTTAGTGAACGAACGTCAATATGTTGAGCTGGAATCATGAATGGATCTTCCTTACTAAATAAACGTGGTATTGCTTTAACTGATTCTTCAATTAAACCGTATCCTGGTGTAATGCATTTATCCTCTAAAACTTCCATCTTTGTGCATGAAATAATAACGTCATCAACTGTTGCGTCAGCAGATGTAGCGGCTAAGCTTGTAATTAATTTGGCAGGAAGTCCGATTTGTTGGAATTTGCGATCATATTTATAAACATGATTCATAATCTTTTCATAATTTTCATCAGTTATCTTTTCATAAACGTAATTTTGTAAATCAGCAACTCTTAACGGGTCAACCTGACAAAATACTAAAGTATCCCTGAAAACATAATATTTAAGAATGATATCACCAAATGATTTAGGATAATCATCGAACGCCTGAAATGCTAACAAATCATTTACCGGAATAATCATATCAAAAGTGACATCAACTTCTTCATTTGCTTTCTTGAAAACTTCTGAAGGGTCAATATATTTACCACATACTGAGTTATCATATTTTTGAACATTATTATATAACGAATGAACAAACTTTTTAACTTTCCTTTCTGATTTTGGTTTATATGTTGCAAATGCGAAAGATTCACGGGCGCAATCCATCTGAAGATAACCGGCATCACCTCTTTCGGTTTCTACTTCTAATTGTTTAAAGCTTTGATTTGATGATTTGTAACCAACGAATAAACGCATGCATTTAAAAGCGGCATCACATGTGAAAGCTTTATTTGAAACTAGAGTTGCTTTAACTTTGCGTTTAATATATGTGTCACCTAATTGGTTCACATCATGAGCCGGATTTGTAATTCTTAAATGAGTTTGTTTATCATCAAAATATGGAGTATCAGAGTCATAGCATGAACTTTCAAGTTCTCTATAATATCTTCTACCGTCATTCTTTGCGAATATTTCATTTATCTTTTCGAATGAATGAAACACATTTCCATTAATCGGTTTAGTGTTTGGCACCAAATAGTTAGTCGTCATTTATTATTAAATAAAAAATCAAAATTAAAAGATGAAAATGAATTTTTAATTTTAATGAAATAATCAACTATGGCTGCAGGTATATTTAAGAAACTGTGGGATAAAGTAAAAAGAGGAGCGCATAAAGTTTGGGAAACAATGAAGAAAGGAGCAAATTGGATATTTAAGAATAAAGAAGCAATTAGTGACGTTGCTGAATCAATAACACCAAAAGCTGCCCCAATAAGAGAAGTTTTAAATAAAAGAGAAAAAGTTTATCAAAGACTTCAACCGATACTAAGATAAAAATAATTTTAAAATAATTTATTTTTCCACTATCTACCTCCTATTTTATTAAGTATTCCTTCAGCAATTCCACCAACTGCGTTACCTGCTTGTGCTCCCATCGCCGGATTACCTGCTTTAGTACCTAATACTCCACCTATGATAGTTCCTGCCGTTTTCGCTACTGGTGCCAAAAAGTTTGCAACGGGTTTAATAATCTTTTTATAAACCCAACCCGCAGCTTTCTTAATTCCATCCCACAGTTTTTTAAAGAATCCTGCCGCCATTTCTGATTTAATATTAATTAAAAAATATATTTCATCACTTATATTCTAATTTTTATTTAATGATAAATGAAACCGATTTTAAAAATAAATGAAACAGAGGAGGAAGAAATAAATGAAAGTGAAAATGTTCAACAAAAAATAAACGTTGTTAAACCAATTACTGAAATAAAAATTTTTTCATCTGTTGAAGAATTTAATGACTATTATGCTAACAATAAAAAATTATTTGAAGAATTGACAACGTGTAAATTGAATAAAATGTTTAAAGTTGATGGATTCAAAATTTCAAAAATAAAAGGGGTGATTAGTTTGAAATCTATTCCTCAATCAAGAATCACCTCATTAATGAAAATTGATGATTTAACAAAAAGAATAGAAGAGATTGAAGAAAGAATGAATCAAATAATTGATTTCATAAATTCAAATAATCATTAGTTTCTTAAAGTTCTATGTTGAACTCATCAAATTTCTTCTTCATCATTACCATTACTCTTTCAACTCTATCTTTTGATAGTCTTGCGTTTAATTTTTCGTAAGAAGTTTAATTTTTAAAAATTTTTTTATTTTTTTATTTTTTATTTCATTATGGTAGTGAATCTTTCATTCATGAAAATAATTATTTCTAATTTCTTTTACTCTCTCGTACATACTAGATTTGAAGAATTCAGAACTTTTACCATAATCTCCTAAATGTTTTCTTATCTTATTGGTTTTCCATTCATTATATGAAACTGTATAAACTTTATCTTTATCTTTGCATCTTTCATCACTTCCAATATATTTATATTTCAATTTTGATTTATTGGTTTCATATTCATTAACGTTTAATAATTCACAGTCTTCCTTTTTAAATAAATGTTTTATGTATTCAGGATTAACAATTCTATAATATTGCTTCCCTTTAAATCTTTGAATATAAACAGGAACACCATCCTCTAAAATTCGATAATCTATTTTATCTGGTTTTACTTGTTGGGTCATTTATGTAAGAATAAAAAAATAACTTTAATTTAAAATTAATATGTTAAAAAAATGATACAAAATCGCTCGATATTGTATGAATTCTTACGTTTACAAAAAAAGTCACACACCCCGCCTTATCCTACTACTTTTAGAAATTTCAAATTTTGACTTCAAATATCGGTGAGATTTGAAGTGAAAATCATAAAGTCAATGTGTGATTTTGATTATTGCATTTTTTTTTGAATGAAGTCCGTATCAATTCAAAAATTTTGAGTATGTTTTTTAAGTGAACTAATAATCATACTCAAAACAATTCGAAGTAATTAATATTTATTGAATAATTTTCATTGAATGCTTGATCCTCATATTTATCACAATTAATTTCAATCATTTCATAAAATTGAAAGAAACTGTTTCCTTGAAATGTTTGTATTGCACTATTTATTGCCGGTAAAATATCAAAACATTTCAAGATCTATTGAAATGACTAAAGGTTCATCATTTACATCAACTTTCAGAGAAGAGATTGAATATGGCTTAAAGTTTTACAATGTAATTTAGATTTTTCAATTAGCTTTCTGTCATAAAAAAACTTTAAAATTCATCAAATTGGGATTTTGAATATAATTCAAATTATAATAACTAATGAACATCTTTTGTCTCATATCGGTATTAGAAATATATGTCCACGATCAGAGCGCATTAAATACAAAATTCATTCAGTGTTTGAAGATGATTCAGAACGAAATTATACTGTCGAAGATTTTACTTTGCCTACTAATATGGATGAATGCCCTACTCCAAAAATATTCCCACTTCGTTTAGAAGAAGATCTATTAGAAGAACTAAATGACTTAAGATATCTTCATGGTATGGGCAATTGGCCAATAAAATTAAGCAATATATCAGATCATGCTAAAATGGTACGAGAATGCATTTGGCTTTGGGGTGCCAATACCAATAGCCTCGATATGTCAAATCATAAAGTAGAAGAAGGTCTTCCATGTTCAGATGTATACACCCGTGGAGCCGCGGGTTTTGGATTTTCATCTTTATCTGGTTCTGGTGGTAATCTAAAAACTGGATATATGCTTTGGATTCTAATTGATGAAAATTTTGAAGGAATGGGTCATCGATCAGCGATGTTTTCACCAGCATTTTACCGAACTCGCTTTTACATGGGTAGGAAAAACAATCCTCCTATCAATGGAAAACCTGTCGCAGTTTCTGATTATTTTGCTGTCCTCAGTGCATACTACACTCATACAGATCCCAGTTTAAGTGTTCTTAGAATGAATTATGAAAACTTCCCACGTCCTGAATGGATTGCACTTCCTCCTCCAGGATATATTGATTATACACTTGTTCCTCAGGTTTGGACTTTTCAATCTCCAAAGATAGATTGTAACAATGTTATATACAGAGCCTACATTAATGGAACTCTCTTACAACCTCTAGATGGCTTTCAGAATGGCGGATTCAATGATGGTGGCGATTTTAGTACAACTGATGGTGTTGCATTTACAAGAACAACCGGATATGATACAGGATACCGTTATAGTTCAAGTTATGCAGTTTATCCTTATCCAGGGTCCTTAATTAGAGTGGAAGTGGAATCAAACGGATATTCTTGGGAATATGAAACATTGGTTGTTGATTGTGAAAAACAACCAACACCAGAGCCAGAGCCAAAACCTGCCGAACCTCCACAACCAAATCCAAAACCAGAAGATCCTCCAAAACCAGCAGATCCTCCAAAACCAAATCCAAAACCAGCAGATCCTCCAAAACCAAATCCAAAACCAGAAGATCCTCCACAACCAAATCCAAAACCTGCTGAACCAAATCCAACTGAACATCCAGGTTCAGATCAAAGTGATATTTCACAGCCTACTGAAGAACAAAATCAACTAGATGAGAAAAAAGGTGGAAAAGATGACAATCAAAATAATAAGAAGAGTTTAGCCATCGGTCTTGGCGTGGGAATTCCTATCGTTATCATTGTTCTTGCTGTTATTGGTGTGGGTATATTCATTCTAATCTCAAAGGGAATAATTGGAAAAGGTCCAATTACACCATCAGACGAAGAAGGAATTGATGTGTAAATAAATTATCAATCATTTACTTTAAATATCTTTCTATTAAATATATTAATATAAAATATCTTATAGATTGAAAATCTTGAAAAAAATGCATGTTCATGTAGAATGTATATACATTAAAATCTTATCCAAATATTGTACCTCAAAATCCTGCAATCTAATTACCAATATGTCAATTCAATTGCAGATATAATCTATTATCGAAATTGAGCATATAAAAGGTTTATCAAAAATGATATTCAGACAACCATTATCAATGAAGTTGAGAAAAATCCTTTAAATCTAGTGTGTATAATTTATTTGAGATGAATTTTTTATATTTAAACAAATAAAACAAGACAATTCATGGTAAAAACAAAATATTGCAAAGAATAGATGATGAAGTTGTTGTTAATTATATTAGTGCATTTAAAAACAACTTTATTTCTCTCAAGGGTGAAAGGATCTGATGGTTGAATTCGGATATATCCATTTCCTGAATTTCCAATGACGACTTTGTTTTGTGGTGATCTGAATGTTTTGTCACCACCAAGTAAAACGACATTATACAGGTCGTGTGATGCATAGCTGCTTCCGCCACCACCGCCACCTAAATCTGCGCCGCCACCACCGCCGAAGTAGCCACTTCCGCCACCTCCTGCGGATCCAGCAGCGCTGCAAATTCCATCTCCACCTTTCAGATATTTTCCTATCGTTCCATTCACTGCAGGATGGTAATCAGCTCCTACGTAAACACCGCCAGCTCCTGGCCGTGATGATGTTGCTCCTTTTCCTCTGACCTTTTTGGCATCTTCTGGATTAACTCTTGTGGCTTCTCCCAGTGCATCTCCTGCAAATGGGCCACCAACTCCGCCAAAGAACTCTGCGCCATCATAGTAGCCGGAGCCTCCTCCAGCACCAGAGATCAGGAGGATGTTATTTCCATAGGGATCAGTCGAAATAAATGTAGCAGCCCCTCCGATGCAGGGTGAAGGACCGCAGATGCTATTTTTTCCACCTTCATATTGCCCGGTTTCAAAATCTTGATTTCCACACTTCCCTTTAGCTCCAACGTAGGCGAAAAGTGTGGTTTGTTTATCAAGTTTCAAAATTGCTTCTGAATATGCGCCATGACCACTGGAAGGGTCGAATGAGCCACCTTGGGCGCCCCATATCATCATGAGCCACGTTCCTTTTGATAAACTAAATTCTGTAAATTTACTAACTGTTGTAATGTCTGTTGCAGTCATAATATCTTACATTTTGCTTTATAGTAGGTCAAATACTTTATATATTTTAGAAAATTATTAGAATTATTTGTCGATATATCTCTTTGATTTAAAATTTCGAAATTTCAATGAGTGTAACCATGTTATTTTGTATGTGTATGATTAATGCAAAACTTTAACGATGTTTGATTGCATTATGTTTAAATTGCGCTATATCGAAGAATAATTGAGGTTTTGATAAATAGAGAAGAGCTGAAAAATTACTACGTTAATTTAATAACCGATATTTTGTATCTGATTTCAATAGTTCTGTTTCAGAATTCAGAAACGAAGCAATTAAGCAGTCTTATAAAATGGTGTATTTAGAAATATTTCGGTTTACATCGAAGCATTTTTAATTGCTGTATGATCTAACATTTACACATGGAATTGATATGATAAGAACATTCAACATTTGATGAAAAAACTAAAAATCTCGATCTTTTTTTTCTTTCTCGATTACGTGCCCCAGCCCTATATTTGCAAGAGTTTTATTGAGAAAATAAATTTGGAATCTCAAATTTCTTTTATTTTCTTACATTATATCAAATTCAAGAAAAATCTCTAGTTCGATGTTAAATTATTTCATTTTTATTTTAAAAGAAATTGTATTTAAAAATACATAGCGGATAAAGCAAGTCTTCTTCTACAAATGGTGGTATCACATATTTTCGTTAGATTTATACTGTTTCATCAAAGCAATATTATAGATTCGATACCTAACATCATACAGTTCCAACAGCTTATGTTTCAGCAGAATTGCTGTAAGAAAAAAAATGAAATAGATAGAATAAATTTATTGGAGTAATTGTGGTAAGTTATTTTCTATAAACGCAGGGAAGTACTTTTGAATTTGAGTATTCATATCCCTAAATTCTTCTAATCCTCCACACCAAGGATTTATAATGTCCACTCCTGGTGCAAACTCGACTATTTTGCATTTTGCATCATTTGGCTTTTTCCTTTCGAGAGATCTTTGAACATATTTTTCTAGACTGACAATAATATCAAAATCATAGAAATCTGTTTTTTTGATAAGCTTTGAAATATGACTTGATATGTCAAAACCTTGCTCTCTTGCAATTTTACAACTGTATTTATCTGGATGTTGGCCAAGATCATCATGTGTGCAAGCTGCGCTATCAACTATCACTTTATTTACGAATTTATGTCTTAAATATCCTTCGCACAATGGTGAGCGAATGATATTTCCAAGGCATACAAAGAGAACGCGTGGGGGAGATGTGCTCATTTTTTAATGAAAAATTGACTAGAATTCAATATGAAAAGATTTTGAATGAATAAGAAATAATTTCGCCTACTAAAATCTTATCTGTTAATCACAGTGAGTCCAAATTGATGAAATATGCAATCTCAAAAATATATTCGCATGAAAAATGGACTCAGCACTTTCTTTGTGACTTGTTAACTTGCTTCCTTTTATCACTGTGTATGCACTCTGTTAAATGATGTATTGTTGCTTTCTTATTGCAATAAATTAAAATTGCAAAGACATATTATTCTGAGTCATGGCCCTTCAAATGGACCAATAGCATTTTAAATAAAATGAAGATGTTTAGCATAGGAATCCTCTTTGATATCTTCTGTATTTAAAAATATTCATATTCAAATTAAGTGTTCCTGATTGGGTTACCAGCAAATTAGTATTGTCAATGCTATACTAGATATGTTTTCTTGAAAACAGAAATCATTTTTCATTATGGAAAAAGTGAAGCGATTGCTCAACGAGTTTCCGCTTCCTTTTTCATGCATTTCAATGCCGAAATCTGATGGACATGCAAGATTAAATGAAAACAACCAACGATTCTGTCCATATTACGTTGCAAGTGATCTTCAATTTGAATGTTTAAAGAAATGTGGTTTCATTCCAACAATGTCTACAACAAACACGAATATTATAGCTGGTCGTTTACTAAATGAAGAATCATTTAAAGCTTTAAAACCATGGCAAAAAGTAAATCATTTCTTTTCTGTTGATTTAATTGGTAGAAAAGACGAATTTCATCAAAGAATGCTTGAATTACGTGACAGAATTGGCAATGATGAGACTCAATTTTATCAAGAATCATATCTTTTACCAGATGATTTTGAAAAAATCATGACAGCGTGGTCAACATCTCCAATGTGGATATTAAAGCCACGTGCATCATCAAAAGGACAGAATATTGAAATCAGAGACTCAAAAGAACAATCATATCCTCCATATCCTTATTTAGTTCAAAAATATTTAGACAGACCATTCTTAATACTAAGACGAAAATTCGATATTCGATTTTATACGCTTGTTACAGGTGTCGAACCTCTTAGAATTTACATTCATCGCCACGGATTAGGATTATTTTGTACAACAAAGTATGATAAATCTGCAGGAGTTAAAGATCCTCGTATGCACATTACTAATTGGGAAGTAAACAAGGATTCCAAAGCTTTTGTTCGTGCCCACGGAATCGAAGAAACCGAGGAAGATTCAAAATGGTCACTTCCCTTCTTTTTCAATTGGCTTTCAAAAAACGGCTATAATTCTGATGAAATAAAGAAACACATGGAATACGCAGCTGTCAAAGCTACTATTGCAGGTATGGATAAAGTAAGAGAGAGCCATATCAAAGTGATAAAAGATAGACATCAATCATTTGAGTTGTTGGGAATTGACATGTTATTGGATGAAAATTTGAATCCTTATGTTGTTGAAATAAACGTAAGTCCTGGTATGTCAGGAACCGATTCTGAGCTTGATAAATGGATGAAAACTGAAGTATTAATGGATACTTATAACATGGCAAAGATTGTTGATTGTGATCCTTATAAAGAATGCAAAGATGTTGAAAGAATTCATGAAATTGAAAGAAATTCTGTATCAAAGAAAAGAAGAGAAAATGTTGAGAAAGGATCTGTGAATCCTTGGGATGATCCTGTATTTATGGATGTTGAGATTGTAAGAGAATATGTTGATGAATTGGAAAGATGTCGTGGATATCATTGCGTTTATCCTCTGAAAGAAAATGTTTTGAAATACAAAAATTGTTTCTCAAAAAATATTTATGAAGATATTGTTTTGAGAAATTGGGTTTTAATGAATGATACTGAAAAAGAAGCTGCTATGGGAAGAGCTCTTGTAAGTTATAATCATTTCTTAAATGAAACTACTCAATCTAATTACTGTTCTATTTGTTAAAGTTATTTGTTATTTAAAAAAGTTATTTTTCAATTTTAAATTGAAGCGTTTACTAAAAATCATGAAATTCATAATTTAAGTTTATATATATGGCACAATGATGTGTTGTATTGAAAGTGACTTGATCGCCTTGATAACTGTGTATATATTGAATACATTTTATTACAGAAATGAATAAATCTGAATTGAAATAATGCAGAAGAATCAAATTCATTAATTCTAATCAAAGTTTAATATCAAATTGAAATAAAAAGCAAAATTTAACTCAGAATTGAAATCTATTTGATGTATTTTATGCATGATATACAGTTTTCAATAAATTAATAATATACAAATTAAATATTGCGCATTTATGCTAATGCAAAATACCATAAAATTGTTTTGATAAGCTAAAAAACTGATTTTAAAATTTTTCTGATTCTTTTTCATAAAAATTAATTGCCAAATTCTAAGATTTTTACAACTCTTTTGGTTGTTAAAAATTCGAGAAAATTCCATATAAAGCTCTAAAATAAATGGATCCGAAATTTGAGGACATTTCTCATGTTAAAAAATAGAGAAATACGACAATTATTATTTCGCACTAAAAAGTGACAATTTTAAAATGATTTCGAAAGAAGAATTTTTAAACATCTTTCAAGACTTTCAATGGAATGATTTTAATGTCGACAAACCTCTGAGAGATGAGTTGAGACGTATCATTCCTGAAATTCGAAAGTTAAATTGGAAACTACAACCACTCAAGACCACATTTAAATTCTCTGTTCTATCCGGTGACACCACACCAGAGGAAGCACGCAAAGTTATGGATATTATTTTTAATACATCAATCCCTGATGATTATTTTCAATCTTTATTAGAAAAGTATCCATACACCCCAAAGCCAGTAACAAAACCTCCAGAACCAGTAGAGAAAAAGCAGCAAGAAAAAGTTGAGAAAAAGTCAACAAGTCTTAATTTCCCAACTGGAGCAAGTCCAAAACCAACAACAAATACAGATGTTCAGCCAAAGTTACCACATAAAGCTCTAAAAGCTATTACTCCAGTCAAAAATAATAATCAGCAAAAGCATTCGGAAGGAAAACAAAAATACGAAAAAACTTATGAAGAGAAGCCAAGAGAGGAAAGACCAAAAGACAGACCTAAAAACAATCGTGAAAAACCACAGCGTGAAAAGAAAGAACAAGTGACCGAATTAAAAGATGAAGATTTCCCAGCTTTACCGACAAACCCTACAACACAGCCACCAGCATTCAAGGCAACTAAGCAGTGGCTTAACCTCAAACAATACAAGAGAGTTACTGAACCTGTAGATCCTGAACCATGGACAGGAGCTTCAGATGGAATCGATATTACACTTAACCCAACATCTGTAATCGTAAAAACAAGTAATGAACAAAAAGAAGATATTATGAAAATTATTGCACAAAAACTCGGTCTTTTAGCAGTTAATGCACCTCCACCAAATAAAGAGGACATCAGATCTGTTCATACTATTTACTTTGAAGTAGAAGAAGTAAAACAATAAACTGTATTTCTAATAAAAATTATAATTATAAATAAATTGCCGAAATAGCTTTACTTGATTTTTTTCTTTCATGAAATTATTTGCTTTAACAAGGTTTGAGTACTTTTTCTTTTATTTTTTTGAATGTTATTATTTTTTCTTTTCCAAAGGATATATGTCCAACTAAAAAGTACAGGAAAATCTTGTAATATAGACGATCCTTGCACATACTCTGATGGATTATCAAAGATATCTCAAGGAGATTCAATAATTTCATTTGACCAACAAATAAATACAACAAATGAATTAAATCAAATCAGAAATTTAGCTATAGAATCCATCAATAAAGGTTGTAGTTTTGATGGAAACAATGTAATTATTGATGGAAGCAATTCTGAACATTATTATCCAGCATTTATACTAATTAACAACGGAAATTCTACGAAAATATCAAATATTAAGTTTGTTAATTTCAATTCTCCTATTATCCATGCAAGAAATTCATATAATACACAAATCGAAAATATATCACTACACGAATCAATAATTTTCAATCAATTTTCTTTTATTACAATTGCTTCATCAGAAATACATCTTAAAAACGTATCATTACACAAAAATGCCGCTAAAGAATCTTCAATTATCTCAATTCATTCATCAAATGTCATATTTTCGAATGTATTGATATATCAAAACTTCCTATTCCATGCATCTAAACACCCAATGATATATAATATCCATTCAAAAATCGAATTTGAAAATTCTATTTTCGAAAAAAACAGTTCGCCATTATCTCCATTGATTTCTAGTGAATCGTTGTCATCAATCAAGCTATTTAATTCGAGTTTCATGTACTGTCATCACTCTCAATTCTTTCTTCTTGATGAATCAAACAAAATTCAAATAAAAAATTCAAAATTCCATGATTGCATGGGCCAATTAGTATCAGGTATAGATAGATCAGAAATAAATATATATCAATCTGATGTAAGAATCATACTTTCCCATAAATATCCATTGATTTTGGTCGAAAATTCTTCACTTTCAATTGAACATTCAATTTTTGAGAACATCGATTCAAATTATTTGGCCATGTCAAGGGGAAGTAATTCAAAAATAAATGTTTTACATAGTAGTTTCCTTTCTATTAAAGGAAAAACATCTGTTTTGGCTGGAAAACACAAATCAAATATTTCAATAATTGATTGCAATTTCCTGAATACAATGGTGACTGTTGGAGCTGTTTCATCATCAAGAGGAACTGTAGATATATCCAACTCCATATTTGATAAGAATTGGGCTCCTGCAGTTTCAGTTGCAAATTCACGCGCAAATATCAATAATGTTTCATTTTCAAATAGCTTTGCTATAAATAAATGGTCTGTTTACGGTGAAACAAGTCAAATTTCTATCAAAAATTCACAATTTTCAGATCAATCACTAAAGAGTTTGATTCATAATAATGGAAACTCAGAATTATATAGACTAACATTTAACTCTTCTAAAGAGTATAGTTTGTCTTCTAAATTGGCTGAAAAATGTATTGAATGCAATTTTGGAATTGCGTTTACAGATTCAACATCGAATTTCATTATGATTCAGATGTTTGTCATCTATGCCCTTATCATTGCCATTGTTATTTCATTGTTAAAGAGGAGAAAAATTTTCAAGCCAAGGAAGTTACTTTAACTGGCCATTTGTCGTTGTTTGATTAATAACTCATGGATTTTTATCCGATCTTTATCATATCTAACAATCAGTTTCCATTATTTTGAAATTTTATATTTTATTTATTTCTTGTATGTTTAAATATTATGTCTGTATTGTATTATAATAACATACTTTTTAACTTATATATGTTAATTCTAATCAAATTAGTAAATTTTCTATCCATATTAGAAATTTTTCTTTTGTTGTTATTTTCATTAGTTTTTTCTTTAATAAAAGAAAGACACAAATAAATTTCTTTATGCAAAATTAGCTCATTTTTAGAAATTTGGAAATATCTCATATTTTTTCTTACATTTAAACATTAAGAAGTATTTTATAGGCTTTCCTGCTTAATTATGATAAAAAGACACATGATTTATTGTAAAAATTATAAATAAAAATACAAACATTTTATTATTCTTTAACAGAAGAAATAAGTTCGGTTAAAAGAGATCCAAGAGCAGAAACGTCTTCGTTTGGTGATTTTGTGAGATTTTCAATTGAATCAGAGTGTTCTTTCAGTTTTGTGACGAGTTCAAGCAAAATTTCATCATCGTTACATGAAAGAATAAGAGAAACAATTGCAGGGACAATTGGAACTAATGATTCTTGATCGTCTAAAAAATGTAATAAAATATCAAGAACTTGTGATAAAGGAATTACATTTTTGAGTTCGTACTTGAACAGAATAGCTGTAGCGATGCGTTGTAACTCAAATGGGTATTCATTTATCACGTGTAATAAGATTCTTGGAATTAATTCTTTATGACGCTCGAAAAACTCGTCAAAATTAGATAAAAGTAAACGAAAAGCAGCTGCAGATTTCTTCTGCATTATACTATCTATTATTAATTGATGAATATTATGAATTGGATATTTTGAAACGACAAAGAACTTGAAAATGCTCTCCTGTAGTGCTTGATCATCTGTTATAATTAATTCCGATATCATATGGTGTATATCATCTGGTAATTCGCATTCAATTCCTTCTCTAAACAAATTTGAAAGGGTATCGAAGGCATATTTGGGATTTCCTTTGACTTGTTGAAGAATACAACTGAAACACCATTGAATGATGCTTGCCGCTTCTACATCTTGAGGAAGCCAATTTGTAATCGCAGATAAAAATTTGGAAAGGTCTATTGATTCTGCAATTTTGACAAAGTATTCTGAGATGAGATTCGAAGAATATATAACAAGAAACATTTGCTGAGAGAGTTTAACTTGATTTGATAAAAAGTCAATTCCATATTGAGCTAGAACAGGATCTATAAGTTGAAACGCTTCTAATATAGCTCCTGGTGCGTTTTCAATTAATATTGGCTCGAGTTTGTTTTCTTTATTTTCAGATATTGATTCAAGTAATTTTCCTGCGATTAATCTTTGCTGATAATCAATATCGATGTTCGAATATATCATAAGAATCCTTTCTAACATCAGTAATTTCGTTTTTTTATTCATATAAAGATATCCGTTTTCAATTAATTTTTTTGAGGATTCATTTAGTGGAGATAAGATAGCAAGCTTGGCTTCTTGTATTTTTGTCTGCTTTTCTGGGCTTCCCCAGAGAATACTTTCCTCATAAATTGAATCGAACATCTCGCAATGAATTAAAAAAGTGACATAATAATTCTTAAACATTCTTTCTAAGTGACATTATAACTTATTAAAAAGCCTATGTTTTCGAAACTTGATGATCCAAAGACATCAGCATTCTCTTGCTTCTTTTAGACTAAAATAATTCAAAATTTACTAATTTTTTTTTAAAACTTCACTTATCCAAGAATTGCCAAGCATCGCAAGTAGTATAGGTATCGGAGTACATTTTACAAATAAACAAGTAATAACTAAAATTTTTACTCAATCATAAGAAAAATATGAGATATTTTTCTTCAATTGTTTTTTTCAAGATATTCATTTCTTGAATTAACTACTGTATAATGGGTGATGCGTTATCTTCGCCTATGTATTCTGATATGAAGAGAATTATGCGGTGTTACTGTAATTTTATAACATGAATTAATGGATTTTCGAGGAATTCCTGATAATTCAATCATTTGCAAGTATTCATCTGCTTTATTCTCAACAACAGTGCATTGAATTGAATTGCATTCATTGAATGCATTTGCATCAACTGTTTCAACAGAAAGTGAGAAATAGATGTATTTGAGATTATCATAATTGTCGAATGAGTATTTTTGAATTGAAGTTACTCCGTCAGAAACAATCTTTATCTTCTATACTAAAAAGATCGGAATTTGCTCCAAACTTAATTTGAGTGATTGTTGAATTTTCGAAGGCATTTGAACATATTGTTTTTACAGTATCAGGAATTGTAATATCCCAGTATTCAAATCCCCAAAACTCATAGATTGTTGTATTTTTTATATCCATAATCAATGAATTACTATCAATAATACGATTATGGTTCTCAAAGTATGAACCTGAAACATTTGTTGATTTTGTAATTGAAAACCTGGAAAATAAAGTTTTGCATGTGAAGTTCATTTGAAGCTTTGGAGATTCATATGTTGAGAAAGAACCTGCTTTAACAATCATTGGAGAATTCGGAAAAATTATATATTCAAGATCGGCACAAAAAGAAAATATATTCGCTCCGATGAATTCTAAAGGTCCTAAAAATGTAATATTTTTTCAAGAATTTACACCAATAGAATGCATGATCTCCTATTTTATTCACTTTTTCTGGAATTATGATTGAGATAATTTTTGATTCGTAAAAACAATTTTCATAAATTGTTGTTATAGTATTTGGAATTTCGTATGTAAAAAAAAAAAAAAAAAAAAGGTAGTGGGGCTTCCAGGCACTTCGTGCCCTCTAGCCCTGAAGATGTTTAGTATAAATGAAGTTTTTATTCGGAGGGCTTCCAGGCGCGTTGCGCCCTCTAGCCCTGAAGATGTTTAGTATAAATGAAGTTTTTATTCGGAAAGCCTTCTTCTGGGTCGAAAACATTATATAATGTGTCGCTTTTCACAAATTATATATGTTTTTCATGTTTTGTTACTTTTCTGTCACTTTTCAGGTAAAACATTTTTATTATTATATATAAATGAATTTTACAAAACCACCGTTACCGTTCTTTGGAAATAAGAGTAGATGTTAAAGATATTATATTGAGAGAACTTAAAGAAACTACCGAATGGTCTAACATTTGTAGATTTGTTCGGTGGAAGTTTCTATATCCCATTTGTGGCATATAATATTCCCAGACTCAAAGATTATATGCAATGACTTCGACAACTATATGGACCGTCTCAAACATATTCCAGACACAAACAATATATTGAAAGAGTTAAAAGAAAAGATACCTATAGGTAAGATGGAACGTATACCATTAGATAACAAAAATATTGTGAGAGAGGTTTTGAAAAAAGCAGAATATATAGACTGGGATAGTATATCTGCTAGACTATTATATAGTGGTGCTATAAGAGTTCATGACATTGAAACACTTATGTCAAAGTTTTATATCTTAACTATACAAATGTTTTCAAAGAGGACATAGAAAAATATATTGAGGTATAGAGTTTGTGAGATGTCATTGGACAGATTTGTATGAAAAATATAAAGACAAGGAAAATGTTTTCTTTATAGTGGACCCGCCGTTCTATAACACATGGGATTTTCAATACCAAGTAGACTGGACTTTGAGAGACTCTTTAGAAACTTTAGACGTTTTACATAACCATCCATGCTTTTACTTTACATCCGATAAAAGTGGTTTGGAAACCGTTATGAGATGGTTAGAGGACATACATGACTATGAGTTTAGATATGACAAGATAGAATATGAGAGAGGACGGTTATTTTACAAAACTAACAACACGTTGACCGAGTAGTTTTTTGTGCTGAACAAATAGTGTCATATAAACATCTGTCAAAAACCGCTTTTTAACTTCACTTAAAATGCCACGTAAGCTACGTAAGAATATACGTAAGAGGAAGAGAGCATTGAAACATCCAATAGTAAAACTGACACCACAACAACAGTTGCAACAACAAATGATGAATGACCCCACTATGTTGCAACAAATGTCAAGCAACCCTATGCTTTTAAACCGAGTTATTGGTGCACAGAGTGGAGGTTTAAGAGCGGCACTTTTAGCGAAAATGGCAGGCTATGGTGGAGCTGCAGACGGAACAGCTTATAACCCTCAAAGTCAAATGAATTTGAGTTCACTCAAAAATCAAATAACAGATGTCAAAAAGTCAAACATAGACATACAGAAACAAATAAGTGAAAACAAAAAAAACTAGAATATGACAGACACACAAAGAAACTCAATGAGTTAAACGTAGAGAAAAAGAAGAAAGAAGAACAACTGAAAGAACTAAGTACAGAGGAATATGCGAAAAAAGTGTCAGAAAAAGCAGCAGAAGTAGCAAAAATGGAACAAGATGTTATAAATTTGAAAAACCATACTACTCAATATAAAGTACTGAAAGATGAAGAGATAAAACAAAAAGCCCTGAAGACATATATGGATAGCGATGAGTATAAAAAGAAGTTGAAGCAAATGTAAAGGCAGAAAAACTTTTACAGTTGCAAAACCAAACCGTACAGTATGAAAACTTAGCACAAGAAAGTAAAAATAACGACGCAGCCATGCAAAAGGCAATGAAAAGCGCAGAATATATAAAAGCTAATAATGACTGGTTAGATGCCCAAGCCAACGCTAAAGCAGCCCAACTTATAGGGTCAATAAGGACAAAAATACAAGCGGATGAAGACAGTTCAAATGAAGCTTTAATGAATGCTGACTTTAAGAACGCCTTCGAAGCTCTTCATAGTAAGGTGAAACTAGTGAACGACTTCTCATCTGGAAAGAAACTGAAGTCTGAAGGTTTCGACAAAGAGTTAAGAGAAGTAGCACAAAATATGACGAAAATAACAGATGCAGCAACGAGACAGGCAGTTCAAAGTGCCTATGACGCCGTTAGAGCAACTGTTGTGGAAAGTCAAGAAAAAGAGTTACAACAGACCAAAACAGACCTAGTAAATGCTTTCTTAAAAACGAAAAGTCAGGTAGGACATTATGCTGCAGATGGAACATATGTGCCAGCTGGTGGAACTTATATACCAGCTGGTGGAACTTATATACTAGCTAGTGGAACTTATATACCACCAAACCCTCCAAGAGAAGCACCTGCACCAGGACTACCTAAAACATTTACATCGTCACATGGACACAGACACAGGCATGCACCAAAACCAACAGTTCAAAATCCAGCACAGCAACCAACAGTTCAAAATCCAGCACCACAACCAACAGTTCAAAACACTGCACAGCAACCAACAGTTCAAAACCCTGCACAGCAACCAACAGTTCAAAACACTGCACAGCAACAACCACAAACAGAGCAAGGACATAAAAGAAGTAGAGAACAAGGAAACCAAGAATTCTTAAAAATGCTTAAGGAAAATTATGGTTACCCAGATACTCTTGACTTTAGTGACAGATATAAAGAAGCTATTAGAAAGTTCAAGGAAGGAAATACTGACCCGAACCTATTTAGCTTTATGGTTCAGCACCAAATGGGATATAATTTCAAACCTGGAAAATACAAGCTCGCTAAGGGATATGATTTAATAGCATATCATCCAAATGACATGAATGAATTTACTCCGAGATATTTGGTGTCAGAGATAAATGATAATTCAACTATCTTCATGAAACGCGTAAAAAATAGAGACGGAACGAAAGAAGAAAGGGTTATGAATGCGGATGACTTAAATAGGGAACTTGTTAAAAACGGTCTCGGAATATATGAAATGCCAGCAGATGAGGTACAAGAAACTCCACAGGAAGAAGTTCAGATACAACCAGACATGGAAGAAATAGTTCAGCAACAACAGCTAGAAGAGCCTGAAGGAAACAAACAAGTCCCTCCTTTGGAAACTAACTTCACAGAACTAGATGAAGATTTGGAACAGCCGAAAAATCTTGACCCTCAACAAGAGTATGCGGAGAATATGGAATCTTTCCAAGAGTCTAAGAAAAATTCGGCTGACATAGTAGAAGAATATCGAAAAATGTTCGCCGACATACAAAAGACTCCAACATCAGATGAAAATATTCAGCATAGAATGGAAGAACTGAAAGAAAGTGTACGCAAATACAACAATCCTTTTTACTTACGACCATATAACGTTCAATCTTTGGCTGAACTCGGTGAAAATAAAAGGTTAAATTTCACCAAAACATATAGAAATGAAACATTGTTTAAAGTTCATTCAGAACCTAACCAATATGGAAACAAACCTACTTTTGTTTCTGCAGACTATGGAACTACAATGAGATGGGGTCATAAAGCTAATCCGGATAGGTGGTTCATAAACTTACAACCACAATTCCAAGAAGTTGTAGACGCAATGGAAGTGAATGGTGAACCAGATATAGCTGGTATTTTCAGCGCGGCTTTAATGCCATTGAAAGATATGAAACATGCAGATATTTTGGACCAGTATGAAATGAACATGGCTGATGGAAATATAACACCTGACGTTCTAGAACATTTATCTCAAAGAACTACACAGAACCATAGAGATGGTATATTTGGTGAAGAGTTTAGAAAGAAAGTTAGGGAGATAGAAGGAAGAGAACCTATTGTACATGACCTTGCAAACGAAAGTTTGCAAAATGTCATAAAAACTTACTTTGCAGACAATGAACCGAGAAGGGATGAATATTTAAGAAAACTCAAATGGACAGTACCAAATGAAATGTTAGTATTGAAAAACATGTTCCTTGACAAAATAAAACCAACTACAGAAATAAATGACGCAAGACTGAAACATTGGGTAAAAGCTTTCCCATTCACAAAAGATATTATTGGTAACATGGAAAGAAAACCAGAATGGCTACAAAAACATATATTTGGAAACGAGCTTATTCCATATGGACAAGCTCTGTTTGAAGAGCTTGAACCGGAAACTCAGGAAAGAGTCATGCAAACAATACGCGAAGACTCAAATACAAACTATGACAAAATCTTTCTAGGATATAGGTTACCTGAGATGGGCGACCAGAGCCCAAAGGCAAAAAGGACATGGGAAATTTACAACATACTAGGTGAACATGAGGCAAAGATGCAACAACTTGAAGCAGAGGGCAAGTTACCAAAAGCGACACCAAAGAAGAAGAGTAGAACAAAGTAAAGCTTGGTCCGAGTGGGTTCTATTATGATATATAAATCCAACTATTCTATATTTTTACCCATATGAAATGTACGCCGCTCAGAATATAACGCCAACAGTTTTGGATGCCATGAACGGAAATGTTTCCGAATGGTATAACGAATGCGACAATGCCATTAGAAGGTCAGAAATAGTTCCTGGAACTTACGAATATACAACTGCTGTTTCTTATGGAAACGTAGGTGAGTTTGGAGAAGGTTCTTCAACAACAGTAGATATTGCTTGCGACAGGTTTCATATTATTTCTATTGACAACTCATTCTTATACGTGGAACAAGACATTGAAATAAAACCTTCTGCCAAGTTGTCTGACAAGAAAGGTTGCAATGGAATTTTCTATGTCGGATACCAATATGCTCCAGAAGTTTTCATGGGATATAAGATATATTCTAACTCTGACTTAGTTCAAACAGTAACATGGGCAAACTATGAATGGTTCGCTTTGAGAAACTCAGTACAACCACAAGCTAGAGAACAAACAGACCAGTATGCAAATATTGAGAAATAAGAAGACTTGACCCTAACGTTCCAGGAGTTTATGTTAACCTTTCTGGTTCAGATGGAAATGCTGCCACTAAAGTAAAACTGAAACTTAGAGTTCCTTTGTCATCTTTCCTCATCTTCAGGTTTTTAAGATACTTGCCAAACTGGGCAGGAAAAATTTCTATCGAACTTACTCCAAGCAAAAATAACTTAGTCATTGCACCAACACAAGACCCATTCACTATTACTGTAGCTGGAACTGGTGGAGCCAAGTTCTGTGACTTTTGCAAAGACAAAGTTGACTTAGACTTTGGTTTCTCAAACTTCAACAATGAAGTAAACTATTATTTCAATGCTGCTGGAACTGCTTGGGACCCAGTTAAGTTCACATGCGAAAAGTTTGAATGCAAGAGAATAGAAAGCAGACTTGCAGTCTATATGTTGGACCCAGATATTTCAAATGCTTTAGCTGCCAAATATATTGCAGTTCCACTTATGTTCCCTATACACCAAATATCTGTCAAAGACTTTGCAGGTGAAGTTGGAAACCAAAGTGCTGACCCAGGTGCAAGAACAGATATTGCTTTAACAACTGCAATGAAACATGCAGATACTATGTTTGTACTGTTCAGACGAACTATAAATGACTATTCTTGTTTCTACAACCCCGGTATTAAATATCATATAAACATAGATGGCAAATATTATCCAAGAGAAGAATATTCTACAGTTGAGGATATGAGGTCATACAACTTGACATTAGATGCTATGAACTTTAACAACAACTTCACAACAACCATTAACCCTGAAATGCAAAGTTCTATTATGCCATATGTGAAAGTATGGACTCATACAGGAGGTCAAAAAACTCAATATACAAATGGAGACCGTTCAAACTTTTGGCTTGGCATTCCATTTGCTGACTCAGAAGACTTTATGGGTGGTATTTCAACTGTTGGTACTGTACAAATACAATATACTGGTGACAGAGACGGTCCAGATGAACTGAGAGCAAAGAAGTTTACAAAACCAATAGCACTTTTCACGGAAGATGCTCTTTTGAAGATTCGTTCGATGAAACCTGCTGGGGCTCCTCAGATTGGCATAACGACAGCTTCCATCGAGCAGATTTTGGCAGCAGGTCAGTAAGTTGTTCTTGAACTGACTTCTCTCCGTCAAATATTGACAGTACGCCAGTTTTGACATATAGGGTGTCCAAAGGTGCGTTTAGCACAGCGCTCTATATGAGACTATTAAAGGAGATATATGCTGATTATAAATATATAATAAAAAATATGAATATATGTATATGATGAGTAAGTTGTATTTTGGCGCCATGCCGGGATATAAAATGAATTTTGAGACAAGAGGCGGTTTCGCGGGAAATTTTGGCGGGATTTTTTTCATTTTTTTAATGAATCATAAAGAAAACATCCTCGCTCTTGCAAAAAAATGCAAAGACTGTAAAAAAATCTACGAGACATTGGTAAAATGCTTCGGTATGGATGCTCCTAGCTATTCCACTGTAACGTATCATGTTAGGATGTATCACTTCATGAACAAAAAGGCGCCCATCATAAAAATTGACAAAAAATCGCCGGATCAAAGAAAAATCAAAGCAATTCTTCAAGCGCTAGATGAAGACCCAAGAGCATCACTCAGAAGGATAGAGGAGATGACAAAGATACCACGTACAACAGTCAGTTATTATCTGCACAATTATTTGAACTACAAACTAGCGTATACACGTTGGGTTCCGCACAACCTTAATTCAGTTCAAAAAAAATCTAGAGTCCAATCTTCGAAAGAGCTCCTCTCTATATTGGGTGCGTATCAATCCAAGAAGTTTCGCTTTTTAGTAACAGGGGACGAGTCTTGGTTTCAATATGCAACAGAAGCCAAAATCATGTGGATCCCGAAGGATGAAAATCCGCAAACATTCCCGAAGAAAAAAATTAACACACCAATGATGATGTTGTCGGTTTTTTGGGGCGTGAATGGCATCATCGCAATTGATATTCTCAAAAACCTAATACGATGAATGCTCAGTATCTAATTGACAATGTTCTTACTCAAATTATCAATTCTGATGAGTTTGAGAAATCCAAACAACAAAAACAAAAGTTTGCAATTCATTTTGATAATTCAAGAGTTCACAAAAGTCATAAGGTAATGAATTACTTAGTGGAAAACAATGTCAAAGTTGTTCCAAACCCAATTTATTCACCTGATATTGCACCCTCTGACTTTTATTTATTCGCGAGTCCAGATGATCTTGAAAATTTTGTAAGAGAGCAATTTGAGCAATTTTCTCATGATGATTTAAAGCGTGTCTTTGAAGCCTGGATCGATCGCTGCGAACGCGTGATTGAATCCAATGGTGATTATATTTAAATAAACTTTATATATATGTAACTTGTTTATTTCTATTCGCAGTATTCAGGTTTGTGCTAAACACACCTTTGGACACCCTATAATATTGTAAGATAAACTTACCTTTAGTAATATCGGTCAGTTTTGAAGTTATATTTTTGTCTGCTTCAAGAACTTTCACCATTTCAGTTATACCAACTTTCTTTGCTTTATGAAAATATTTTGGTTCAGCAAATATTGCTATTCTATAACATTTTCCATTGTTTGTGTAAAGAACTATTCTGTCAATGTATTTGTATTGTTTGTGTGTGTAAACTTTGTTCTGCTTCAATTCGAAGAGATACTCGAATACGTCCATCTTTTTATTCTAAGTAAAATGTCATTTCCGAAAATAGAAGCGTGAGTGTTTCAAAAGGTTTAATGGCGGTGGCAGATGTGAAGTTAAATTCACCAACTCAAACAAACAGTCAAAGTGTTGTTGTCAATGTCAAAGACAGAGATGTTGAAGTGGGGAAACCATACGAAGACGAAGATGGTATAACGATTTTCCTGTAAAAGAACAACCAACATATCCTGAAGTTAGCAGAGACTTAAGTTCTGTTGCAGATATTCGAAACGACTACCAACAACTGAAAGACAAACTTCAAACTCAGGAGAAGATTTGTCAAGCTTTAGGTATAATGTTAAACTTGGTCGAACACAACCCTGTAAAAGTGAACTCATATGTCATTGCACCTCATGAAGTTTGAAAGAACTATTGAAACTTTTGACAGAGGCAGACGATATAACATCAAAGAAATAGAACCCGACATTAGTTGCTGTGGTGTTTCATATAATGTCATTGAAGATATACGTTATGAAAGGAGGTGAAACGTTGAACTTAAAGTTAGTTTCCCAGACGTCATAAAATATTTGACGACCACAACATTTCATTAAAATTTATTTGCTAAGTAAAAATGTCAAAACTTCTTGAAAGATGTTTGAAGAAAAATAATATAAGACTTTATTCATGTAAAGGATTTTACACACTTTTGAACGATATGAAAGACCCTGTTTGTTTGTTCGTGTAGACAAAGGAAAGTTCTATGTCTTTACAAATATTTGAACTTCTTAGACAGAGAACTTCAAGAAACCTCATGTGAAAGTTTAGATGAAGTTTCTCCACTTTCAGAAAAAACTTTTAAATATATAAATGGCAGAAGATATAATGGTTTATACTATTACGACTAAAAACCCTGAGTCATATAATTCTATAACAAACAAACTTACAAAGTCCTCAAGGACGATATTGTAAACTAACCTTAAACACAATGACGACTAAAGCCTGTTTTGCTCTTTTGACACCAGAAGACTTTATTGTTGTGAATGGTAAAAAATACTCCTTTGAAGATACTTACTCAGATATACCCCAACAGGTTTTGTTGACTTATTTAATACTTTAAGGACGGGTGTAACATGTGCTGCAACTAGAGCAGGTTTCATTATGTTTGGATGTCCGACTGAGTTTACTATAAACGATATGAGCTATAATACAAAACTTATTTCTGGTTTTTACTACCAACAGTTTCTATAACAGGAAAAGGTGTCATACAAGGAATGTCTATTCCATTGACATTAAGCACACCAATCTTATATATTGTTCAAACTTAGGTTCAAAGTGTTATTCGAATGTCGACAGAAACTATTATGACCAAAAGATACTTATGCGTATAAACTACTTTCTCTGCTGGTTTGCTATTGTTCATTCGAATGCAGAATTTTCAACCTTAGTGAACTCAAACACTTTGGCAAGTATAACGTTGACATTAGTTGACGCAAACTTTGTTCCTGTAAAACTTTTATGTCCTATGTATTTGTCAATGACGGCAGAAAGTTTCGAATTGGAAGATGCAACTGGTGAAAGTATTGTATTACAAGAACAACTTCAACAACAAATAGCTCAAGAACAACAAATGCAACAAATGCAACAACAAAGTCAAGAATAAAAAAAATTTTTTTATTTTTATAAAAATGTACAGAATAGATGTTTCAGATTTTTATGACTTCCAGCATTCAGAAATATGTGTCCATTTCGAGACTATAACAAGAGTCGAGAATTTGAAACGTTTAGTCATTTATGTCGACTCTGCCCCAGAATGTTTGTTATGAAAGAATGGGATGTAGTCTTTAACAAACCAAGAGCAACAATAGTTTCAGAACAAGAATGTAGACAGAAACTTAAGAAAATAAAAGTCGTACAAGTTGGCAATGAAGATGTTAGATGCTTGGATATTTATTGTCAAAGTTAGAAGATTTTTCAGTTCGAGGTATAAAGTTCTATACACCTTCTCCAAACTTCTATTCTATCTTCACTGGATATAAATACGAACAAGTAGAATGAAAGAAAATATTATAGAAGCTTGGTTAGACCATGTCAAAGAAATTATATGCAATGGAAACGAAAAGGTTTATGAGTATATCTTATGTTGGTTTGCAAACATCTTACAACATCAAGTGCTAAAAATGAAACTGCTCTCATTATAATTGGAAAACAAGGAACTGGTAAGAATACTTTCTTTACAGATATCTTGTGCAAACTGTTAGAAGGTTATTCGAATCCGAATATGACAAACTTAGAAAACATCTGCGGTAAATTTAACTCCTCAATAGAGAATATGAAACTTATAGTTTGTAACGAACTTCAAAGTATAGATACAACAAAGTTTTTAAACTCAGATGCTTTGAAGAGTCTTATAACAGATAAAGTTGGAGTTGTTGAAAGAAAATATAAAGACCAAAGAGTTTGTGAAAATGTTGCAAACTTCATTATGGTTTCAAACAATGCTGTTCCGATGAAGTTAGAAAGTTCTGACAGAAGATATGTAGTTGTCAGAACGTCAGATTCTCATATGCAAAGATACAGAATATTTTGACGACTTAGCAGAAACTTTGACATCTGACTTTTACAACCACTTGTTCTCATATTTTATGACATTAGATATTTCTAAGTTCAATCCAAGACAAATTCCACATACCGAAGAGAGACAAACATTGTTAGAAGCAAACAAGAGTGTATATGAACTGTTCATAGATGAAACTGACTTTGTGTCATTAGATGAAAGGTCATTGTACGATTCGTATAAACAATATTGTCAGATGATATGGTTATATGACAGCGTCTAAACGAACATTCTTGGCAAATGTCAAAAGTCTTTTAGATGTTCAGAATGGTGTATATACAAAGAAAAATTTTTATGAGTAAATTTAAAAAAAAATATTTTTTTATCCGATAGAAAAGATGGCAAAATTCATCTCAGTAAACAAGTACATGTCAGGACTTAAAGAAGAACTAGACCCATTCACATATTTGAATGTTTACTTCTACCATTTTGAAAAGTCTTCATTCAGCAAAGTTTGGAACATCGAACCAGTTAAGTTTGCTATTGTGACTAAAAACGGTGCGAAATTTGAAGACTTAGACATAGAAGGTTTGTTAGCAGTCAAAGAAAGTTTTGACAGAAGGTTTTCAAACCTTAAAGAAGGCAAAGCATACAAACTTGTTATACCTTATGAACCAAAGAAAGCAGACGACTATGAATATTATGAGTCTAAGATAGTTGAAGTTCAAGGTAAATTGGGTAAAAAGATTTTAGAGTCTAAGCCAGTGTTTGCTCCTAAAGAGGAAGAGAACATTGACATTGACCCAGAAATGTTCTAAAAATAAAATTTTATTTTTACATGTCAAATTTCTTTTTCTCTGGAACTGGTTCAGGTTCTTTCTTCTCTTCTACTACTTTCTTTTCTTTCTTTTCTCTCTTCTTCTTTTCTGGTGGAGTTATGTCAAATTTGGCGCAACTATATTTATGTAAAAGTTCTTTGTCCTTTAATAGCTCATCTATTCTGTTTTCTATTTCATCTTCAAGAACAGCGCATGTGTCTTCTTTGCATTCTAAGAACTTTTGTTGGACTTCATCTTCCAATCGGCGTCATCTCTGTCAACAAGTCTGTCATTGACAAATTTTAAGACTGCTCTTTGTAATGTTTTATGGTTCTTGTCATATTCCCAGAAACAGAACTTTAGAACAAATTCACCTTTCTTGTTTACACTATGTAAGATTTTATGGTCGACAGATGTTTTGCTGTCAAAAAGCTTGTCTCGAATATAGATAGCGAAATCGCTAGACATTTTCTAAAAGATAAAAATTTTAATTTTTCTAAAAATATGTTAGAAAAAAAGTTTGCTGACATTGACAAGAAATTTGAGAATGTTTTAAATAAGAACAAGAGGAAGTTAGAAAATGCTCAGATAAAACCTATACATGACAAGTTCTTATTTGCTCAGAATGGTATAACAGGTCTAATTGCACCACCTGGGTCGGGTAAGACTTTCACTTATCTTAAAATGGCTGCACAACAACAAGAACTAGATGAGAAGAACCCATTCTATGAGTTAGTTGTTATTTGTAGTACTTCTGGTCAATTTGACCAAACCGTCAATTCGTTCAAAGATATTATAAAGAAGTCTAAGTTAGTATGTATAAAGGATACTGAGTTGTTTAGATTGGATAAAGAAGTACCAAAGAAGAGTTTTGAAGTATAATGCTATAAATGAGTATATAAATTCTAAGTTTAAAGACCCTAATGAGGAAATGCAGAGAATATTAGAGAAGAAACACTTCAGAAACAAACAGAAAGAGATAGAATACATTTCGAAGAAATTGCAATCTTACGATTGGAAGACTTACCCTCATAGATGTCTTCTTATCTTAGATGATTTCGCCTCTCATCCTTTGTTAAAGAATAGAGAACAAGACATGTGTCGAATTCTTAAGAAGCTCAGACACTTTAACATCTCAGTTGTCATTTGTGTACAGACAGCAAAGAGTTTAAGTAAGGATGTTAAAAGAATACTTACTGACATTGTACTTTTCCCCGGATTGTCCGAAGACGATTTCATGGAACTTATGAAAGAGTCCATGGCAGGTAAGTTTGACAGACATGAACTATGGGAGAAGTACAAAGTCATACAAGACCCTCATACTTCTTTCAGAATTCATATCTACGCAAACAAAGTTCAAATTGTAAAAAGTCAAGCTTGAAAAATCTAAGTGTTTAGTCTTAGTAAGATGGTAGCTTCTTAAAGCAAATACCATTGCTGAGTTTTATGTACGTGAAGAGAAGTACAATGAATTCAATTACGAGTACAATTGCAATGACAACTAAGGCAACTATTTTTGTCTTTTGCCAACAAGGGTACTTCTTCTCTTCCAATGGTTCGGCAGAACTATACTCACTCATGAGAAATGCCAAAACGGTTTAATAGAAAAAGTGTCATTTTTTCATGTCAGAAGACTCGAAGGTGCAACACTTCCAAAATACCGACGAACTCAGAAGAGCAGCATGGCAGTATCTTCTTGACAACTTCTTTGAGTTCTCCAGGTACACCTTGGAAAATGCTGAAGAACTCCGACACAGAGAATTTGGAGAAATTGCACTCCAATACTACCTTGACAAACAAAGGGTAAACAAAGGGTAAATTAAGACTAAAAACTTAACGTTTAAAAAGTGACATTTTTATGAGCTCCGAGTCACCGAGAAAACTTGGTCAGATGTTAGCAGCTTACTTCCCTGAGGAGGATGGAAGCGTTACATACGTAAGGTTCAAAAACAACGAACCTGGAATTGCGTACAAAATTCGCAATTACATGACCATGGAAGAGTACGAAAGGTTCCTACAAGAGAAACCAGCTCTAAACAACTCAGAAAAGAAAGAATAAAAAGTTTAACTCGTAATTGTTTATTTTTTTTACTTGTATGGGCAAGCTGCAAGAATGAAGTCGACTATCTCAGTCTTTGTTTTGACGAGCTGGACGGCTCTTGCGAGTACGTCTGTTTTGCGGTCTCCAGCTGGTGTCTGACCTTCGTAATTGCGCATGTTCTTGAGAGCTCCAACTGTAAATGATTGTAGGATGAAGAGTCTCTCAGACTGCTTGAGGTAGTCTTCACGGTCACGAACTGAATCTGTGGTACGAGTCGAATCGGTCGATTTGAGGGAAGAGACTGAAAGCCTGTCGTCTTCCATAGGGGCTGTGGCATAATCTTTGCGTAAGCGGTTCAGACCTTCTTCGAACTCTTGGTCTCTCTTCGTTGAGATTGGAATTGGAATTGCTGGGGTGGAGCTTGCTGGAACATCCAAGGGTTGGGGAAGTAAGGCATAGGCTGAGGAGGGTAGTTCGGGAAGCCTTGTGGTGGGTAGTAACCTTGAGGTGGAAATTGGTAGTAAATCGGAGGTACTTGCTGGAACTGAGGTTGCTGAGGAGACTGTTGTGGTTCTGCAGCTTTCGGTTCCTCTGGTTTGGGAATGGACTCGGTTGGTGGGACGTGGGACATTCGTTTGTGTCCTGTGGGATGGAAAATATTTTCCTGTCGGAAGGAAAAACTTTTCCTGTCGGATGGAAAAACTTTTTCTGTTGGAAGGAAAAACTTTTTCTGAAGTTTGACCAAAAAGTTCTCAATTTTCGAAAATTTGAATGGTTTACGGACGGACAACTGGAAGAGTTCTTCCTGTCGTCGGGAAAAATTTTTCCCTTTGTCCGGAAAATTTTTTCCAGTTGTCGGGAAAATATTTTCCTGTCGGATGGAAGGACTCGGAATGCCAGAAGGATTTGACGAGGCAATTTACCTTATAGAGATAAATGAAGTTGTTAAGCAGTACTTGCGCAGGGTAATGAAGCCCAAGGTCAAGTTCACCGCTATTTCTGGAAGGGCTGCCTTGAATCTCGAGACTTCGACTGGAATTCCAATTCAAATACCAGAAAACACTCCTTTCGACGACATAAAGGACGCCAAAAGAGAAACTCTTGTTAAGTTCCTAAACAAACGTCCTTGGATAAAAATACCAAACAAGGAGAACCCCCTACCCCATATGAAATTGGCAATTCAGTCTCTCCTTCACTTCTCGGGTCAGCCGTTCTACATAACCTGTGAAGGCGACATCCAACCAGTTCAGTCAACCTTAACGTTTTGAGTAAAAAACATTTTTTTTCATTTTTTGAATGAAGCAAGTTAAATTCGTCCCACACCAATCTCAATGGACCGATGAAGAGTTTCAAGCCATGGTTGAAGACGTTGAGAACGACATAGACGGCGAACTTGAAGGAGCTCAAATCACAATTGCAACCAAAATTGCAGGAGTCAAGGAACAGATAGCTCCACTTAAAGCTACCAAAGCTACTCTTGACCTCATGGATAGTTACCGTTTAGATGTCAAGAGTGGAATAAGACAATTAAAATTAAAACTTCTAAACTACGAAGCTATACTCCAAAAGTTAGCAGAAATGAGAAGACTTTACCAGAGCTACTTACATGTAAGGGACTTACCTTCAAGCAGTCCGACCAAAGATGAATTTGTTGACATTGTCCCAATTTTGTCCGAAAGTCAGCTCAGATGTTTCGAACTGCTCCCAACATATCCAGAATATGAACGTTTGCCTGAACTCTTCCGCAATCTCAAAAAACGTTTTTTGGTTCTCATGTTCGAAACTTTTATCGGAAGAGACAACAAACGTTCAGAAGAAGAACAAGATATTATTTTAAACTTGTTGTATGACATAACTGTCATAACAAGCTTTTTGAAGTAAAACCGTCATTCTCAAACCACTTCATTTTTCGATGTCCGAACAAGCACCGAAGCCAAACTCAATGGCAGATGTCCTTTCAAGGTTGTCAGACAAGCGCCCAGTTCAAATTCAAATTGCCCAATTGAAAGCTCATCTGACAAACACCATTAAGACTCTCCAAAGTAGTCTTATGACAGAGATGACCAATCTCAAAGCCAATGTCCTCACGAACCAAGCTTCCAATGAGAAAGTCCTGAACGATTTCGCGGAAACCTTGCGCCAATACGACATAGAGAACCAAAACCTTGCCCGACTCATCTACCGTTTCTTCGAAGAGATAGACGCCATCTGGAAGGTACTCGGAAAGGACAGAACATGCAACACCGTACTTCGTGAACACAGAATTGCCGAAGGTATTATCAAAGAAGAGGAAGAAGAGAAGAAGAGGAAGAAGAGAAGAGAGGAAGAGAGGAAGAAGAGGAAGAAGAGGAAGAAGAGAAACACGAAGAAGTTCCTGAAGCCGCTACATGGGCAACCCTTGTTGCCGATGACGCTTACGAAATTTCCCAACCCTACCCATACCAAATCCGCAACAAGGAGACAGGCAAGGTTCTTACCCCAGTCCTCAACAACTTGGGACACTTGAACCTTAACCTTCGGAATTACGGTTCAATTTCCATGGGAAGCTTGTCGGTATGCAATGGGTTCCAAATCCATACAAGAAGACGAGGGTCAGACACATTGACGGTGACAAGCTCAACAACCGTAAGGAGAACCTCGAGTGGTTCTAAGAGTAAAAAAATTTTATTTTAGGGGGAAACCCCAAGTAAATTTAGGTGTTTATTTGGATAAGTATGTTAAATTAAGGGTAATTTGCAAAATTAGTTCCCGACCTTTGAATTGGGCTCTTTCGTTATCCCAGTTGCGTAGGAGGTCGTCCCAGAGGAGTTGGTAGAATTGCCAATCCAAGGACGATTTGTCCTCCCAGGCATTGAGGATGTACTGCTCGTAGAGTTTCATGACCTCTGCCTTGCACCAGACACCCTCTCCCTTGGAACGTAAGGCTTCTTCGAAGTGCTCGAATGCGATTGGCTGCGTGACCATCCGAAATGACACTTTTTGTCCGTTTGGTCAATGTTCGTGTCTCGTGCCATAGTCGACGAAAATACAGACAAACAGGTTATATATGAGTTTGAGACCAAGAATGGTGTAACTCGACCTGTCCGATTCAAAGACTCCGAGGGCGACCATGAAATTAAACGGAAATTAGCTAGGAAGGAATATAAAATGGACTGGTTGCCACCACCTCCACCTCCACCACCTTTACCTGTTCCTCAAGTAAATAAGCCTTTCCCGTTCCCAAGAATTCCACATTTTAATTCAAATTCGAATAAAAATTTTTTATTTCATGCAATGTTTTATTTCTGTGCCGTCTTCAAGTATGCCCCAGTACTTACGCTTGGAGAGGACATGAACTTCAGAAAATACCTTATCTAGCTTAAAACAGCCCATCTTTTCACCGACCATTCCCATTTCAATGAGTTTGTTGTATCCTTCTTCGTTCGTCATGAGTGCGTCAATGTTCTCATAGTAAACCTTCACTTTGGATTTGACTTCGGAGAAGAATTTGTTGTAGTTGTCAAGGACTGCCTTTGCGAACTGAGGGTAAGACCAATGTTCGACAATAGGTTTTAATGTGGTTACTAAGCCACTTTGACCTTGAGTGAATTCGTACTTCAAAACAAAAGGAGAAAACCTTTCAACAAAGTTGTCGACCTTCTCATAATGTTTACTCTTCATCTCTTGAGGTTTCTTAATGGAATATCCCCATGTCGAATTCATAAGCAATTTGAGTGTCATTGCAAGTTTGGGGTTTGAAGCTTTCCTAATATCATACAGTTGTTGTATGACTTTTCCAACTGTATAGTTCCTTCCCGGGAACTCACCATCTTCGTTTGGAATTCCAGTCGGAATATATTGGACAAACCTCATGTATGCAGCGTTAAGGTCGACATAGTATATCTTTTCATCTGAGTCGAACTTGTCGCAACCAATTGGTCCAGTTTGTGGAAATTCAAGTGAGTCTCTTATCTTCTGAGAAACTTCTCCTGTTATCTCATAAACATCGTCGAAGCAACCTGTTTCATATAAAACCTTCTGACCTAACTCAGATGCTCTCCAATACAATTTGACGTCAATTGGATGTCTCAATGGAAGTTTGTTTATAGCATCTTGAAGTTCTTGCAACCTCATTGGAAGTTCTTCTGGTTCAGGTTGGTATCCGAACAATCCAACTCCTTTTGGAATTGTGTACTTCTTTTGTACTAGAACTTTGTCTGGAACAACTTTTGGTCTTGCTAACAGTGAAAAGTTTGTTTCGTCTTTTGGTACAAAAGTTTCTGTCAGCTTGTCATCTGGAATTGGTTCCAACAAACCTTTCTCGAAAAGAATGTTTACAGCTCTGACAATGTTGCACTTGCCTTTTCCGAACAATGGGTTTGTAAGACTTTCGTTCAACATGAAGTGGTTGTGGACAATTGCAATCTTCAACCATGGTAAATTGAACTCAACAACATAGTCGTCATGTGAAGAACCTTTAGCTGTAGGTATGTTGACTCGGATATTGACATTTGCCAACGGTGCAATTTTTGCCAATTGACCTCTGAGAATGTACCTTGTCTTCACACATGACTCAAGATACTTCATCTTCTCTTCTGAAACAAGACCAGAGTTCCTGAGACATGTAAGAATGCAAGGTTCATTGACAATTGTTTCAATTGAATTGTAAATTCCATACCTTGTCAAGTCAATGTCAGACTTATTTATGAACGGGAAAGTATCCAGCATGTTGTCTGACTGCTTGAGGGTTAGGTTGGTACCATTCGAACTTGACACTTGCAATTCCTTCAATTGCATTCAAAATGTCTGAGTCGGAGTCAACCATTTGTTCTCTCTTTGTAGTCTTGAAAGCGTCAAGAAGCATTGCAGCTGTTGTCATTGCCATTTGCATAGTAAATGTGACCATCCAAATCTGTTATGGTCAATCTGAGATTGTATCCTTTCTTATTTCCGTCTTGTATGCAGCAAGTACCCATGAAGCCTTCTTTGTTCTTTCCTTCGTCAAAGTTTACTGTAAAGGTTCGACCAGATGTAATTTGACTTCTAACTTCACGATACTTTTCATATGCATATCTTGTTCTTTCCATGGGAGCATGACCATCCTCTGCACTACCTTTTTTCCTTCTCAAAGGATGCAATTGTTCGTCATGTTTCCAGTAGAATCTGGCAAAGCCGTCGTGTCCTTCAACTTGAGGTTCACTAACATCGAAAGGCATGTCCATAAGACGTTCTTCTTCTAACCTCTCTAGTCTGTTTGGATAATTGCACGTGCTGTTTCCAAATCCATTTCGTAGCGAAGACCAGCCAGTTTGTCATAGACTTTTATGGGTCTTCCCTTCCTATATTTAAAATTCTTCGAAACTCTCCAACCATATCTTTGCAACTCTGCTTTTATTCTAGCAGACTTTCTATCCATTCTATATGGGGGCATTTTTATAAAAATAAAAAAATATTTTTTTTCTTTACTTTACATAACCGCCTGCTGCCATAAGTCTTTGACGCCAACCCATACCAGCTAATGAAGGTTTGACTTGGTTTAGTTTGGAAACTAAACTTTGGTTTTGGTTTATCTTCAGTTTTTGGTTTTCTTCTTCTATCGGTTTTTCGTCACTTTTCGGTTCCTCTGACTTTACTTCACTTGCAGGAACAGTT